TTTTTTTTTATCCTCACCTGAGGACATTTTTCCGTTTTTTGTTCAGATAGAGTGGGAGGGAGGGAGGGAGAGAGAGAGAAACATCGACGTGAAAGAGACACATCGAGTGGCTGCCACCCACACGACCCAACCAGGACCGGGGACAAACTGCAACTGAGGTACATGCCCTTAGTGGGAACTGAACCCGGGTCTCTCTGGACCACAGGCCGACGCTCTAACCGCTGAGCCAAGCCAGCCAGGGCCAAAGTTGATTTCTAATGCTAAATAAACCCACCTTGGTCACGATTAATTGTCCTGTTTCTGTGTCGCCGGACTTGGGCTGGTCATTCCTCACATCGGATTTTTGTATCTGCTCGTGAGTGAGGCTGGGCTACAATTCCCTCTCTCTTTTCATTCTCGGGCTTTGGTAACCAAGTCATGTGAGCCCCGTGAAATAGCCTGGGACTGGCCCTTGTGATTCTTCCTGGAGCGTGTGTGTGAAATTAGACCGTTTGTACCTCGTGCGCTTCTTGGACCTTGATGGGGAAGCCCCTGAGCCTACAGTTCGCTCTGTGGGGGTGTGTTTGACGGTCGATGACATTTCTTTTATGCTTATGGGACTTTTCAAGTTTTCTACTTTTTTTCTTGAAACAACTGTGGCCAGTAATATTTTTCTAATAATTCGTATGCTGTCTAACTTTTCAAATGTATTGGCATAAAGTTGTTTGGGACATTTTTTTTTTAGGCCCCTTTGTTCTGCCATGGGGTCTTTTGTTCCTTCTCTTTTTAGTGATCGGTTTCTTTAAAGATTTGTCAATCTCATAAACCTTTTAAAAGCACACACTGTTGTCTTGGAGGACCCCTTCTGTCACGTGTTTGTTTTTGTTGCACTAATCTCCAATCTTTTTAGTTTTTCTTCCTTCTCTTTCTTTCAGTTTCCTTTGCAGTGTCTGTTAACTTGTTGCAGTGGATGTTCATCACGTCAGTTTTCAGCTGTCTTCTTTCCGAATGTATGCACTTAGGGTTACAGTTTGCCCGGTGCCCTTCAGCAGCGCTCAGCCTCAGATAGTGTTTCCTGTGTAGTTCAGTTCAGGCATTTTATGATTCCGTGTGATTTTTTAAAATCCTCACCCTATGACATGTTCTTATTGATTTTGAGAGAGAGGAAGGGAGAGAGAAAGAGAGGGAAACATCGACCGGTTGCCCCCTTCTCCCCACCACCGTAGGCACAGACTGGGAATTGAACCCACTACCTTTTGGTGCCCAGGACGACACACCAACCAATAGACCCACCCGGGCCAGGGCGCCATATGATCTTTTCTCCGACCTGCAGGTTATTCAGAAGTACGTGTCCTATTCTCCCCAAATCACGTGCATTGTAACCCTCTCTCTGTCATTGATTTGGGCTGACCACTTATGGTCAGAGAACCAGCTTGTGTCGTTTGGGCCCTCTGACCTTACGAGGCCTGCTTGGCGGGTGAAGAGTTTTGGGAAGTGTTGTCTGGGTGCCTTAAGGGAGCGCTCGGGAGTCTAGAGTGGTTGCTGTGTGTGCATCTGCAGGGTTCAGTTGTCCGTGACACTGTTTGAATGTATGTCATCGATGGCTCTTTCCTCTGAGAGAGGTGTGGTCAAGTTCTCTAGCTTTTCCTCCAACTTTGAAAAATTATGATGCACTTTCCTGTTCCGTCACCTTTGCCTTATTGCCTTGTGGCTGATACGGAACACACCTGGACTTGGAAGGGCTCTGTCTTCCTGGTGAACTGGGCGTCTGGCTGTGGAGGAACCCCCTTATGCTGGTGCTGCCTTTTGCCTGAAGCATTTGGTCTGTTTCCAGGTAACTCCCCCAGCTTCCTAATCAGTTTCTACACAGCACATCTCTTCCTGACCGAAAACGCAGTGCTTCCCCGGGCTTGTCTTAGATGTCTCTTTCGAAGTAGCAGAGTTAGATGTTTTGATGTTGGTTTTTTTAAAATCCAGTTTGGGAAGATGCTGTTTTTTTTAGCTTGGTCATTTAAAGAATGACCTTCACTTAGATTTTGACCTGATAATTTCTTATTTTCTTATTTTTTGTCTTTATCCTCACCCGATGGCATTTTTGCATTTATCTTTGTATAGAGCGGGAGGGAGAGAGGGAGGGAGAGAGAGAGAGGAACGTCAATGTCAGAGAGACACATCGACTGCTGCCACCCACACGGTCCCGTTGGGGCCAGGGACAAACCGCAACCAAGGTACGTGCCCTTAGCGGGAACCAAACCCAGGACTCTTCTGGTCCGCGGGCCGATGCTCAAACCATTGAGTTAAACTGGCCAGGGCAATTTTTTATTTTTCTGTCAATTCTTCAAGGTTTTTAAGATGATTCAATTACAGTTCTATCCTGCATTGGCCAGCGTGGCTCAGTTGGTTGAGCGTCGTCCTGTGCACCAAGAAGTTACCAGTTCCATTCCTGGTCAGGGCACATGCCCAGGTTGTGGGCTTGATACCCAGGAGGGGGCGTGCAGGAGGCAGCTGATGAATGTTTCTCTCTCCCTCTCCTTCCTCTCTCTTAAAAAAAAAAGTCAATAAAATTATATTTTTAAAAATTTCTCTCCAGCATTTTCAGTGTGGTGGTTGGCAGCTGGCCAGACACATCGCCAAAGTGGGAACTCCAGCTGCTTCTCCTGAGCACGTTCAGCAAATCTCTGTTTTCACCCCACTTCACCCCACTTTAGAGGCACCGTTCTTGAGGTGACACAGGGCGTGTGATGCATCAGGGTTCTGGGGCTCAGGTGGCACCCCCGGGTGGCAGCACCCTCTCGTCCTTCCTCCCAGCTGCTCTTCTGTGGAAACCGTTTCTCCTCCCACTTGCCTGCCTTCGTCTGGTCACATCTGGAAGTAACTGGTCCCTCCACTGCTGTTTAGTGAGGACGTAGAGGGTCAGAGGCCGCCGGCCCGGGACTGCCCTCTTAACCGGACGTTAAGAGTGTGTGCAGTTCAGCATCATCGGTGTAAATGGGACTGTGCATGTCAGGTTCCACCTCTGATCCGCTTGTCAGCCGCTGGGTGTCGACCAAACAAACTACTGACGAGACCTGGAGCTCCCCAGCACGGAGCGGAGCAGCGGCAGCCCCCCATAACCCTCCGTAAGCCCTGCCGCTCACGCCCTGCAGCCGCAGGCTCTTCACGGGGAAGGGACCCTGTTGGTGTTTTACAAGGTTCCTTCGAATCCTGCCTCTTGGGACTCGAACGCACATTTGTTTCTCTGTAGCATTTTTAAAAAATAATTACTGGCATCGATTTATTCATGGTTTATCTGGGAGACATTACTGGGCTTTGAAAATCTTTTTCAAAGATTTATCCTGAAGCGGTCGCTAAATCAAGCAATGAGAAACAAACTCGTCAGCAATTTTAGCATCTGGTACAAAACATCAACGTTTAATGTTAACATTCCCCACCAAGTTCTGCACAGGGTGGCTCCCAGCACCCCAGGGTGTAACCAGGTGTAAGGAATGTTCCGAGGCTCCGTAAGAACTGGTTCTGAACCGCGACTGTGCGTGTGTGTTCTGGAGATCGCACGCTGGAATGCGCCACCTCCGAAACGTTGTTTCGGATGAGTTTTGACAATTGCACGCACCTGTATAACCACCACCCCAAATGAGACAGGGTGCACTATCCCAGTTCCTGTCCCCGCCTCTGACCCAGAATCCCAGCCCGATTCCTGTCATCCCTGGCCCCTGCCTGAAGCTGGGTTCCTATGTACTTGTTTGGGCCTGACTTCCTTCATTAGCACATTTCTGAGGCCCGTGTGCAGCGTGCATCAGATCTCATTCTTCGTCAGTGAGCAGTCTCCACTGTAGGGAAGTTTGTTATTAGTAAGCTTCAGGGCTGTTACCAAGAAGGTTCTGTGGACACCCCTGCACCAGGCTTCTGTGAACCTCTGTAAGCGGGCATGGCCCCCCCGGGGGCTGCTGGGTGCATGGTTGGCATGTGTTGACCAGAGCCACCCAGGTGCCCCAAGTGCATCACACGCCTGCGGTCCCTCCGTGCCCTTGCCCACGGTTAGTATTATCCGGCATTTGTTGTTGCTGTTAATCCTCACCTGAGGCTATTTTTTCCATTGGCTTTTAGAGAAAGTGGGAGGGAGGGAGGGAGGGAGAGAGAAATATCAGTGTGAGAGAGACGCATGATTGTTTGCCTCCCACAGGCGCCCCAACTGGGCCGGGGATCGAACCTGCAACCCAGGTACATACCCATGACTGGGAATCGAACCCTCGACCCCTCGTATGCAGGCCGCCGCTCTAACCACACCAGCCAGGGCACGCTATCAATATTTTCATCTCTGGCGGTCTGATAAGCTTGTGCGCCATCCCCTGGGCATCCCCTGTGGCTTAACTTGCGTTTCCCTGACGGCTGCCAACAGTGCAGCATCACGGACCCTGGCCATCCGCAAGTCTTCCTCCAGTGTCTGCTCTAAATGGCTTGCCCCGCCCTGGCCGGTTTGGCTCAGCGGTTGGAGCGTCGGCCTGCGGTCCAGAGAGACCCGGGTTCGGTTCCCGCTAAGGGCATGTACCTCGGTTGCAGTTTGTCCCCGGCCCTGGTCGGTCGTGAGGGTGGCAGCCACTCGATGTGTCCCTTTCACGTCGATGTTTCCCTCTCTTCCACTCTCTTCCTCCCACTCTATCTGAACAAAAAATGGAAAAAATGTCCTCGGGTGAGGATTAAAAAAAATTTAGAAATTAAATAAATAAATAAATAGATAGATAAATAAATAAAAGGCTTGCCCCTGGTGGCGGGACTTGGGCCTGGCCGATGTTTAGGAACTCTCTCTCTCATCGGGATGCCAGCCCTGGCAGACACAGGCTGCAGATGTGCTTCCTCGTCCAGGGCTTGTCGGTTCCTTGTGTCAGGGCCCAGCGACCTCTTGGTGCATGGGTCGGCGCTCCACCACGGAGCCACACTGACCGGGCTCTGTTGTTATTTTTTTAATCTAAGATCTTGTTCATCTGTATTTCGTAACATTTCTTGCAGCTGCTCCTGCCTCTGAGATGGAAGCAAGTGCTAGTCCGTCCCCCGAGGTGGAGCATTTGGACAGCCCCCCGCACGAGGAGGATGGTGAGTGAGGTCCCGTCACAGCAGCCCGGTTACGGAGCCACACCGGCCGGGTAGGCCACAGATTTTTAAAAATTTCCAGCCTAGCCCTGGCCGGTTGGGCTCAGCGGTTAGAGCGTCGGCCTGCGGTCTGGAGAGACCCGGGTTCGGTTCCCGCTAAGGGCGCGTACCTCGGTGGCAGTTTGTCCCCGGTCCTGGTTGGGTCGTGTGGGTGGCGACCACTCGACGTGTCCCTTTCACGTCGATGTTTCTCTCTCTCTCTCTCCCTCCCACTCTATCTGAACAAAATATCGAAAAATGTCCTCGGGTGAGGATAAAAAATAAAAATAAATAAAAATTTCCAGCCTGTTTACTGAGAAATCAAATGCCATTTTCATCCCCGTTCTTTGAGTGCCACCTCATTTTCTGTGGGTTTTTTTTTTCTGGAGATTTTTAGATTTTTTTTTTCTGATGGTATGGAGTTTTTCTCAGCTGAGCCTCATTGGCACTACCACTGGCTGCGGGAAGAACATGGTTTCCTGGCCCACCTCCCGCGCCCAGCACTCAGCACTGTGCTGTGCTGATCCGTCCACTCGTCCTGCATTGACCACCTCGGAGAGCGGAGAGCGAGCTGCCCCCTCTCACCACTGCGTCTCTCTCCTGTTCTTTTGTTTGCTTGCTATTCCTCACCCGAGGATATTTTCCCCTTGATTTCAGACAGAGTTGAAGGGAGGGAGAGAGAGGGAGAGAAACATGGATTGGTTGCCTCCTGCACGACCTTGACAGGGGCCGGGGATCAAACCTGCAACCCAGGTCTGTGATCCTGACCGGAAATGAAGCCTCGGTCTGTGGGCCGACGCTCTAACCCTGGGGCCACACCGGCCAGGACCTCGCTCCCGTGCTGTGACCTTCACCGCTGCTTTTCAGCGTCCCTTCCACGGTCTCCTGGGAAGTTATGGAGGAGCGGAGGCCTCTCCACGCTTTCCGGCGTCTGTGGCTGTGCCCTCAGGGATTCTCAAACGGCTCTCATCAGAGAACCTTCTGTCTTAGTCACTGACGGCAGCCCGGAGAGCTCACGTTCACGTCGGCTAACTTCCGATATTTACGGGGTTAGAAACCCGCCCAGGCCGGTTGGGCTCAGCAGTTAGAGCATTGGCCTGCAGACCAGAGTCGCAGGTTCGACTCCGGTCAAGGGCTCGTGCCTCGGTTGGGGTTTGGTCCCTGGCCCTCGTCAGGGTTGTGCGAGATGCAACCAATTGATGTGTCTCTCTCACATCAATGTTTTTCTCTCTCCCTCCCTCCTTCCCACTCTATCTGAAGATAAATGGAAAAATATCCTCGAGTGAGGATTAAAAAAAAAAAAAAAGCTGAAAATATTATATTCACTTCTTCACTTAAAATAGCAATAATGGACCTGGAGCAGCAGAGTCTGGTTGAACAGACGGTGGCGGGGTGGCCTCGGGAACTCCGCTGTACACTCGTGAAACGAGAGTGGAAAAGACAAATAGCGTTTAGTGTCACTGTGAAAATGTCTGACTCTGCAGACCCTCTGTAAGAGTTTTAGGGAACCCCCAGGGTTCCTTGGACCATGCTTTGAGAACCCTTGCTCTGGGACACCATCACCACTTTTGTCCAAGTCTGCGCTTGTGACGAGTCGTCCTGGAGCTTCAGTCTCGAATGCCTAGATCTGCTTTTCTGTTGTCTGAACTCTCGCCCCATTTCCAGAACAAGATGAGCTGGAGGACCCAGAGTTCAACTTCGAGTCTCCTCCCCCCGAAGCTGAGAGCCAGGCGGCCTCGGGGGGCCGCAGGTAACTCGTGCGGGCAGCCGGCACAGGGGCCGGCACGGGGAGCAGCCAGGCGGGGCGTGCTGGCCGCACAGCGGCAGCTGGTGCCCTTTCTGCGTTCAGCCCAGAGAAACAGCCGAAGGCCGGTGCTGCCGTGCAGGACAGGACGCAGGCTTCCCGCCTGCGCCGGGAGCTGAGCCGCCTGGAGAAGCTGCACAAGGACAAAGATCTCTTCATTCAGAAAACCAGGTGCGCGGGGTCGGGGCGAGCGGCGGTCAGGCCAGGGACCGGCCTCCTCCGGCCTCCGGGCCGCGGTGCCCATGCCTGCCCTCGGGGGTCCTGCCGGGCTCAGCCGCCCTGCGGCCCGGCCACCATCCTGCCTGATCAGCAGTGACACCCACTGCGTGCTCCCCGAAAGTCTGTGAAGGAGCATCTCAGACACACAGAGAAGGTGGAAGCAGTCACACAGCCGTCACCCGAGTGCCACCAGGCCTCTGTCAGCCTGCGAGCCTTGGTCTCTGTGTGTCATGCCTACGATGTTTCTCACCGAGTTATCCGAAAGCAAACCGCAGGCATCACAGAACTCTCCTCCCGAGCCCTTCTCTGTCTCCTGAAGCACCAAGTTCCGCGTGGCCCCAGTACTCGCCCCCCTAAGCAAACCAGGGTCCCCCCCAGCCTCGTGCGGCAAGTCTCGTGGCCCCAGTACACGCTGCCCCTAAGCAAACCATGGTCCCCCCCAGCCTCGCGCGGCAAGTCTCGTGGCCCCAGTACTTGCCCCCCTAAGCAAACCAGGGTCCCCCCAGCCTCACACGGCAAGTCTCGTGGCCCCAGTACTCGCCCCCCTAAGCAAACCAGGGTACCCCCAGCCTCACAAGTCTCGTGGCCCCAGTACTTGCCGCCCCTAAGCAAACCAGGGTCCCCCTAGCCTCGCGCGGCAAGTCTCGTGGCCCCAGTACTCGCCGCCCCTAAGCAAACATGGTCCCCCCCAGCCTCATGCGGCAAGTCTCGTGGCCCCAGTACTCGCCCCCCTAAGCAAACCAGGGTCCCCCCCAGCCTCACGCGGCAAGTCTCGTGGCCCAGGCCTTCAGAGCTTTGCTCAAGTTTTCTGTTGTGTGTTTTTTTCTTTTTTAATTTTTTTTTTTTATTAATCTTCAGAGAGAGAGGAAGAGAGGGAAAGAGCGATAGAAACGTCGACGAGAGAGAACATTGACTGGCCGCCTCCAGCGTGCCCCCCACTGGGGATTTGGCCCTCAACTTGGGCATGTGCCCTGACCGGGAATCGAACCAGTGACCTCTTGGTGCAGGGTCGACCTCAGCCACGGAGCACAACATCCGGCCCTTTCTGTTGATTCAGTGGTGGCGCAGGCACACCCAGAGCAGCACTAGGAGCAGCGCTCCGCCCCATGGTCTCGCTGCCCTGAGGGTCTGTGGTCGAGGCGCCCATGAGTCAGGCCTGTGCCCTCTGTGACCCCAGGCCTCCCCAGGGGCCCTTTCCGCGTCTGAGCTCGTTGTTGTGCTTGTTCTCGGTCACCCCCATTGGCCGTAGGTCACACAGGTGGCCCCCGGGGAGAGTGTTCAGAGAGCAGAGGGACGAGCCCCTGCACAGTGCTGGCTGTCCGAGAAGCCCTGGGCAAGATGATGTGCCCACAGCCCCAGGGCTGGGCGCAGGCGGAGGTGCCCGGGGCGGGGGGCAGAGGGCTGGCTACATTTCAGACCCCGCATCCAGATTCTGGCTTCTGCTCTCAGAGGGGAGCTGCGCGCTTGCTGCCAGAGGATGGACCTCATCGTCAAGCAGCAGGAGAGCGTGGCGGCCGAGGTGGCTGCCGAGAGCGAGGCCCACCACACGTAGGTCCTGGGCTCTGGGCACACAGGCCTCCCGCTCGGTGTGGGAATGGACACAATCCAGAGTGGACCCCAAGCTTCAGGTGGTCCCAAGGACAAGAAGCTGGTGGCCAGGAGGCCGAGGGGTGGTCACTTTGGGCAGGTGGCCCGGGGAGGGCTCCCAAAGGCCGCTGCTGCGCAGGGACTGGAAAGAGCGTCCTGGGTGGTGAGAGTGTTGAGCCCCCAGGAGCCACCCAGGGTGAGGGGCTGGTGTCCTGGGTGGTGCAGGGAGGCGCCGGGGTCGACCCTCAGGACCGGCTTTGCCCAGGTGAGGAGATCACGATGAGGGTCTTGGGGGCCATGCCTCTCTCTGTGCTGCGCACCCCACCCCACCCCACCCCCGCCCTGCCCGGCCCCGCATCCCCACAGACGGTTCTGTCTGAGATCAGAGCGGGGTGCTGACAGGTGCGGTGCCCCAGGAGCTGCAGCTCCAGGAGGGAGGGGGTACACTGAGCTCACAGCCTACACAGGTCTCGGTGCCTTGTGACCCCTCAACCGCTTCTAGTCGATCCCTCTTGAGGGTGCTGGGTCCTCCGGGTCCCACACTGGGGGAGCTGCTGCTCATCCTGGAGAAGCATGGGAGGCCATGGGGTGCCTGGGGATTCTCCAGTGGAAATGACAGGCTAGGTAAAGGCACTGCTGAGCCTGAGTGGGGTCCTGGGGCGTGTGGCCTGGAGGCCAGCGGGGGCTGGCCCTGCTGACCCGGCTCTGACACACGTCTCTGCTGTCCTTTCCTGCTGTCGCTGCACGCTCAGGGCTGCTGTGGGCCGCCTCCGGGCCGCGGCCAGACACCTGTGCACCGAGCTGGAGAGCGAGAGGGAGCTGGAGGCAAGGCTCAGGGCCGAGCTGCGGGCCAACGAGTGAGTCCAGGCCACCCATTCACAGCCGCCCCTCCCCTGCTGCTGCTCACTTCCGGCAGCCGGGGGACCAGTGGGAGCGTGAGGGGGAGGCCTGGCGAGCAGGCCTCCTCCCGGAGCCTTTCCTCCCCTCGGTGTGTGTCCTAGGGACCCGGGCACCAGCTTCCGGTCCCTTCCCAGTTCCCGTCCCATGTCCACAGAACAGCCCCTGGGTTTTAAACTGGCTTTGAGACTTTTCTAATGGTCCCCCAGGAAAGAGGTGGCATTGTTCTAAATACTGTGCTGGTCAGGGCTTGAGTGTTCACACCAGAATTGCCTCCAGCTGGTTTAAGTGGAGAAGGGACTTAGTGAGGGGTGTGGACAGCTCGAGGAGCGACTGCGAAGCTAGAGAAACCCACTGGGCCCTGGCCGGTTTGGCTCAGCGGTTAGAGCATCAGCCTGTGGTCCAGAGAGACCCGGGTTCGGTTCCCGCTAAGGGCATGTACCTCGGTTGCAGTTTGTCCCTGGCCCTGGTTGGGTTGTGCGGGAGGCAGCCACTCGATGTGTCCCTTTCACGTCAATGTTTCTCTCTCTCTTCCTCTCTCTCCCTTACACTCTATCTGAACAAAAAATGGAAAAATGTCCTCGGGCGAGGATAAAAAAAAAAATTTCTTAAGAGAAACCCACTGGGCTGTGGGGGCCTGACGCCCTAAACGCAGGGGAGCTCGGGCACAGGCTCAGCCTCACAGGAAGGCACAGAGAGGGCGGGGTTGTCCCGTTCGTCCTTAGTCCTTAGTTGGGAAGGCCCCTCAGCCCTGGGGCGCTCCTGGCCTTGACATTTTTTTTATTCCTCACCTGAGGACATTTTTCCATTTATCATCAGATAGAGTGGGAGGGAGGGAGGGAGGGAGGGAGGGAGAGAGAGAAACATCATGTGATAGAGCCACGTCCACCGGCTGCCTCCCCCACGACCGGACCAGGGCTGGGGACAAACCGCAACTGAGGTACATGCCCTTGACCAGGATTGAACCTGTGACTCATTGGTCCACGGACCAACGCTCTAACCGCTGAGCCAAACTGACCAGGGCTGGCCTTGACATTTGTTAAGATTACGGGCCAGTGAAGGTCCCTGGAGCTGTCTCACGTGACGTGTCCTCGTGGCCACTGGCTAGTGTACCCCCAGTGCCCAGCTCTGCCCTGCCCTCCAGGGCATCCTCGCTGCCAGGTGCTTGGTGGCAACGGGTCTCCTCCCAGGGGGACCTTGTCCTGCCAGGCTTCACGCAGAGTATGCTTTTGCTTTGGAAACAGACATGCAGTTGTGGGGAGACACTGGGCTCTGGAACAACCCCCCCCCCCGCCCCCGCCGCCCTGGGTGCGCATCCTGCTGTGTCTCTCGCCTGAGTCCATTAAGCAGCAGCTGCAGCACCGCCTCCAGTCCCAGCGCCCTCTCCCTCTCCAGTGTAGGGGACGCGTCTCCTCTCCCCGTCAGCTCAGGGTGGGCACTTCAGCTCCTGTCCTTCAGGGCGCTGTGACCCGTCCCATTGTCCTTGACTGACGCTCCAGGTGGGGGCCATTCGCACCTGCTCCTGTGTCCCCACGTTGGCCTGTCTTTCTCTGAGCCCTTGTGGCACATGACACGTTCCAGACCGTGCCGTCCTGGAGCCTTGGTGTCTGACGGTGACGGGTGCAGTCCCTGCCGGGAGCTGGGTGCTGGCTGGGCCCGCGGGTGCGTGGCGTTGCCACTCTGGGGCCTCTCGGGAGACAGAGCAGCAGACACCTGCACGTCCCTCTGTCTGTGCTGAGACCATGCGTCACTCATCCACGCCTAGACTCCCTGACCTCTGCCCACGTGGTCCCTGCCCCCTCCCCTCACACCAAGAACCACTGCCGGCCTTTGTCCCCAGAACCCCACATCCCAGTGCAACAGGAGTCCTTTCAAAGGCAGCATCTCCCATCGGTGTCCCTGGTATATGTCAGAGTCCTCTGGCCAGGCGGGCAGGTGCAAGGGAGTGCCCCGGACACTCAGGAAGTGGGGGGCCCGGTTCCAGCTGGGTCGGACTTAGTGTGTGGGGGCACCGGCAGAGCTGGGAGCCTGGGTCCCTGGTGACTGCAGGCTCAGAGGAGGAGGTGACCCATCAGAGGGGTCCACTGTCCTCCTGGAGCTCGGTGTCTGGGCCCTCCCAGGTGCCTGGGGTGGACGCTGGGCCCCAGGCCACCAGCCTCTGTGCTGATGTAAACAAGTGTCCCTCCTCTGCAAGGGACGCCCTGAGGCACATCACCATCCAGGAGGGCCGGCTGGAGGGCCTGCAGAAGTCTGCCCTGAAGGAGCTGGAGGCCGCCGGGAGGTCTCTGCAGGTGCAGGCGGCCCGGCAGCTGCAGAAGGAGATGGAGGCCCGGAGGCAGATGGAGAAGAACCAGCTGCTGAGGGTCCGGTGGGTGGCCAGGGCCTGCGCTTCCTCACCCTGGGCCAGCGTGTCTGCTTCCACCTGCTGCAGCCCCGCTCTTCCCCAGGCTCCTGGCCAGTCCCTCTCCTGGTGACCTCCCGGTGCCACCTGGACACCCTTCCCACTGCCCAGTCTGGCTCCCGTCCACCTGAGCCTCAGTCCCTGCAGGTCCCCTCTCCCAGGCTCCTGGGCAGGGTGGGCGGCTCTAGGTGTGTCACAGGTCACGGGGCCCAGCACCCTGACCTGAAGAATATGCACTCTCCTCTGGCCCCCGCGTGTGCACGTGTGTGTGCACATGTGTGTGTGTGTTCCCTCTGCTCCCGACCCCCACCTCACCACTTTGTCCAGGGGCCTCCTGACTCCTCCCCTTCCCCAGCCTCATTCAACCCTGGGCCACACCTTTCTGCCATCTGTGTGGGATCTAAGTCCCCCAGGTCTTCACCCACTTGGTCCTGGGCCCTAGGCTCCCTCAACCTGGCCCAGCCTGCATCAGAACTCCCTCTGGGCCTCCCCAGACGTTCCCTGACCTGCTGCCCTTGCTGTCCGCTCGGCTGTGTCCACCTGCCTGGGTGTTTCTCTGGGCGGGGGCGGGGTGAGCTGGAGCCGGCGCTGTGTCCCGCAGGAAGTCCACACACCTCCAGAAGGAGCATGGGCTCCGGCACCAGAAGCTGGTGGAAGACGCCAGGAAGAACCACAGGATGGCGGTGAAGTTCCTGAAGGCCTCCCTGGGAAGGTAGCGCCTTCTCCCCAGGGGGACATCCACGCAGGGGCCACTTGCCTTGGGACGCAGTCCGCAGTGACCAGCAGAAAAGCGCACTTCAGTTTAGGTTGCTGCTGGGTGTCCAGAGCAGGAGCTAGGTGCCCAGGCCTCCCGTCCAGGACCGTGTTTCAGATGCGTTGCCTTGCCCTTCACTGTCCCTCACAACACTTGCCCTGGTGGGCATGACCCTCCCCAGGGTGCGGGAGCGGGAGCAGCAGGAGGAGTTGGAGACCCAGGAGCACCTGAGGAGACGCATGGACGCTGTGCTGGCCCTGAAAAGCAGCATCACCACCAACCGGGTAGGCGCCCAGCTGCCCACACTGCCCTCCCGGCCGGGGGCCTCACCCCCAAGGCCCCAGTGCGACCCCTCTGGGCAGGAGTTCCTCTGTCCAGGTAGCAGTGTGCACCCCTGCCCGCCCTCCTGACCCCTGCTCCGCGGGAAGTGCCTCCCCGTCCTCGCCTCGTGGCTCAGCCACTCCCTGGGACGCACCGCGCCAGGCCCAGGGCTGGGGCAGGCGGAAAGCAGCACGGCCCGTCCTCGTGGGCCTGTCCTCATGGGAAGAGCAGTGACAAGGTTCCAGAGTTGGGGCCTTCCTGGAGGCAGTGACGTGCCCCTGGGGCCTGAGTGTGTGCAGTTAGTCCAGGAAAGCAGACGGGATGGAGGGGAACAGCCTCTGTAAGAGCTCAGAGGCAAGAGAGCAGGTGGCCAGGAAAAGCAGGGGAGTGGAGGTGAGCAGGCCAGTCCCACGGAGCTGCGTGTCCCATGGAGCTGCAGGCAGGGGCTCAGCCACTCTGAGGACCCAGGGTGTGGGGGTGCAGCGGCAGGCGGGGGCTGGTGAGTGCTCTGGTGTGCACGTGTGTGCGTGTGTATGCGCATACGTGCCCATGCTGTAACCTTGGTGTTTTCTGTTCCCAAGGAAACGCTCCGGAAACTCCACGCATGGAGCCAGGCCAAGGCAGAGCTGGCTGAGCAGAAGTCCCAGGCTGAGAAGCAGGCGATTCTGGCCCAAGGTGGGGACGCTTTCAAGCACCTTTTCCATCAGCGCCGGTGCCAGGAGCTGGAAGCCCAGAAACGGTGAGCCCCCACCCCGGCCAGGTGCCTGCCTAGTGTGGGAGGTGCATCCATCAGTTGTCTCTCCAGGCACCCACCCGACAGGCCTGTAGGATGCAGCCAGTGGGGTTCCAGCCCTCCCTCATTCCTGCCAAGCCCCTCCCTCCATACACCCCTGTCCAGACTCCAGCAGGTGGGGCCTGTCCTTCAGCCCCCACTGTCCCCGGGGTTCCTGGCCTGTTTCTCAGGAGCTGCTCCAGGGCACCCCCCTGCTCACGCCCCCCGCCCCTGGGCTCTCCTTTCCCCTCCTGGGGGCTGCAGCTGCCTGGGCTCATCTCTCGTGCTCAACCTTCCTGGGCGTCATTTTCTGGTCCCCCCAAACCAGAGCTCAGTGCTGCCTTCTCAGCACAACCCGCACCCGTCATTCACCCTGCAGGGTCCCAGCACACAGCTCCCCAGGCTGCACCCTGCCCTGCGACATGGATGCCTGCAGGCGTCCTGCCCCAGGGTGTCCCCACACCAAGCCTGGGCTTCTGCCCCGCCCCCAGCCTCATGGTGGGAGTGCTGTTCTCCCACCCCCAGCTCCCACCCCCGCTCCCACCCCCGCTCCCACCCCCGCTCCCCCAACGCGCTTGCTGTTAGGATCTGCCCAGGTGTGGCCTCCTGGTCCTCTCACAGGGACAGCATTTCTTGTCCAGGAGTTGGGTGCCTAAGTATCACCTCCAGAATTTTGCTATAACCCCACCCTGGTGGGGGCTCCTAGGACAGCTCTGCCCACTCCCGAGTCCCTTAGTCTGGGGCAGGCCTGGCACTTAGGAGGGGCTGGAAGAGCAGCTGGAGAGAGGGGTGGGGGGGAGAGGGGAGGGGGAGGGGCCTGATGCTGCCTCCTGTGTGCTTCATTGGGGGCCCAGCCCTCAGCCTGGAACCGGGAGCAGGGGCAGCCAGAGGGGTCAAGGTTTCTTGCGGGCACGTGCCAGGGGGCCGGGCTGGGCCCCAGGAGTGGGTGGGGGCGGGCATGTGCCAGGGGGCCGGGCTGGGCCCAGGAGTGCGTGGGGGCGGGCACATGTGGGGGGGGGGGCTGGGCTGGGCCTGTGCTCAGGGAAGGCGGCTGCCCCGCTCTCAGCTCGCTCTCCCCCCCAGTGCCTTTGAGGAAGAGCAGAAGCTCAGGAAGCTGGAGATTGTGAGTCGCATTTTGAAGGAGGAGACTGAGGAGAGCAGGCGGCGGAGGCTGCCTTCTCCAGCCAAAGCCCTGGCCAGGCCAACCCTGAGGGACAAGACCTGGGGCTACCTGAGTCATCTGGCCACCCTCAGCGAAGGGAAGACCCCTGCAGCTCCCTTCTGCCCTGTGGTGAGCAGGCAGGGCCTCGCCCTGCTCAAGGAGCAGAGGGACTAGCGGGCATAGGGGTCGTGGGCACCCTGGGGACATTTCATAAACCTTCTCGACTTGAATCCAGACAACAGAACTACCTGGCTCTCTGCTCTCACTGTTCTTTGCCATGGCAGTCAGCATAGGGCAGTTGGCATGTGCAGAGTGGGCATGGTGCATAGTTGGCACGGTGCACAGTGGGCACGGTACACAGTTGGCATGGTGCACACTTGGCATGTGCACAGTCGGCATGGTGCACAGTCAGAACAGTGCACAGTCGGCACGGTGCACAGTGGGCATGGTGCACAATTGGCATGGCGCAATCAGCATGTGCACAGTCAGCATGTGCAGAGTGGGCACGGTGCACAGTCGGCACGGTGCACAGTCGGCACGGTGCACACTCGGCATGTGCACAGTCGGCACAGTGCACAGTCAGAACAGTGCACAGTAGGCACGGTGCACAGTGGGCACGGTGCACAATTGGCATAGCGCAATCAGCATGTGCACAGTCAGCATGTGCAGAGTGGGCACGGTGCACAGTCGGCATGTGCACAGTCGGCATGTGCACAGTCAGAACAGTGCACAGTCGGCACGGTGCACAGTGGGCACGGTGCACAATTGGCATAGCGCAATCAGCATGTGCACAGTCAGCATGTGCAGAGTGGGCACGGTGCACAGTCGGCACAGTGCACAGTCGGCACGGTGCACAGTCCACATGGTGCAGTCGGCATGTGCGCAGCACGCAGCAGTTATGGTGCAGTCGGCACGGTGCACAGCGGGCACGGTGTACAGTCCGCACAGGGCACAGTCTGCTTGGGGCACAGCTGGCACAGTGTACATCCGGCATGGTGCATAGAGGGCACGGTGCACAGAGGACACGGTGCACAGAGGACTCGGTGCACAGCCCGCACGGTACACAGTCGGCATGGTGCAGTTTCCTGGCTGGCACAGCCTCGTGTCCCCAGCAGGCAACCCAGCGGTAGGGGTGTGTGTGTGTTCTAATCCCCCCATGGTTCCTTTTGAGGGACTCTGGGTAGTGGCTGGGCTCATCTTTACAGCAGGCACGTGGCAGACCACAGGGTGCCACCTGGGAACTGGCCTGCCCTGGCTGATGGCTCAGGTACAGGGGATGAGACCCTGGTCACCATGCCTCCTCAACCACAGGACCCATGGGCTTGGGTCACCTTACCTGTTCCCAGGTAACAGGCTAAGGCTGAAGGTCAGTCCTGGGCCAGGGGCAGATTTGTGTCCCATTACCCCCATCTGCAGGTTATCACCAGGGGCCAAAGACTGAACGGTCCCGGAGATGGGCACCTCTCCTCTCGGTCTTCCGTTCACTCGCTCACTTATTCACTCTCACTCACTCACACTGAGGCTGCCCTGCACCAGCCCAGGTGGGGCCTGTGTCCCTGTCCCTGAGGACGTGGAGCAGGGATGGCAGGATCCCCCCCTGAGCCCAGCTTGGCATTTCTGATTCTGCATTGACAGCTGCGACCCCAGCACCTGAAGGTCAAGGTTTGGCTTCGACAAACACCTGCCAGGCTTCTTCGCCTTTGGAGGCTTTGCTCTGCACATGCGTTTTCGGTCTTTTCCTGTTTCCCAGGCCTTGGACTCAGCTTGCACACACTGTCCCCTCCTGCTCCTCTGGCCAGCTGCCCCCAGGAGCCACCCCGGCCATTTCCCGGAGCCCGCTCCCCGGGGAGCCCTTCCATCTGACCTGTTCTGACCTCCCACTGGGCAGGAGCCGAGCTCTGTCCTGGCAGCCCCGAGGGTGGCTCTGGGTGCAGTGTGTTCAGGAAACGTCAGAGACGCTGAGCGGTGAAGCGCTGGGGAGGGTCAGGGCACAGCCATCGCTGAGAGGGTTCCTTCACGGGCGTTGGAGAGAAGCATGCCCTGATGTGCAGATACTGACATTGTATTTTAAATGGAAAAACTGCCTGGCCAGTGTGGCTCAGCGGTTGAGCGTTGACCCATGCACCAAGAGGTCCCCAGTTTGGTTCCCGGTCAGGACACGTGCCCAGGTTATGGGCCAAATCCCCAGTGGGGGGTGTGCAGGAGGCGGCCAATAGATGTTCTCTCTCATCGATGTTTCTAGCTCTCTCTTCTTCTCCCTTCCTCTCACTCTAAAAATCAATAAAGGAAAAAACATTTTTATAATAAATAAAATAAATGGAAAAACTTACTAAACGGTGTGCTCTGGTCTGCAGGAAAGTGAAAGACCTGGGGTTCCCACGACTTCATTTCTTTGTTGTGATGCACACGGCCCTGTGTTCTGAGCTAGCGCTGTCCTCTCCCTGACCAGGAGATCGACAGCTTCTCCCACCCCGAGCTCCCTGGGCTGATGAAAGCCGTCTCCAGCGATTCCGTCCACGGGAGCCCTGACAGTGTCAGCTGGGAAGACGAGACACTGGCCGAGCCAGAAATCTCCGGGCTCTGGACCGAGGCCTACAAGTCGCACCAGGTACCTGCCTCCTGCTTTCATGTCGCCGCAGGTGGGTGACAGGCCGTCTCCATTTCCCGGGTGTCCTCCCCGCCTGGCAACCAGGCCGGGCCCAAAGCTGCTGCTCTGAGGGTTCTCCCCACTGCCCGGCCGCCTCCCTCCCATCCCAGAGCCTCCAGGGCAACTGTGGGCACGCCACGGCCAGACTCCCCTGGCCTCAGTAGCTGGCCACACAGGGGACGCAGCCGGGCTCGAGTGTCGGGACGATGCCTGACTCTGTTCTGCGTCGTCTTCGGGAAACATTTCCCGGGAATGGCAGGGGCTCCGTACTTCCTTCTCCGCCCAGAGCACTGGTCCTGGTTCTGAAGGAGCAGACGCAGCCCCGTGAGCCAGGAAGTTGGCCAGTGCTCAGGGCACCTGAAGGGCCACCGCCGCTGCTGTGACACTGTCCCTGCGCCAGCCGGCCAGGCCACGCCCTGGGTGGGCGTCGGATTGGTTCCCATGGCAGTGAGGGCAAGTCCACATTGGTCCCGCTGGTTCTGGGGAAACCTGGCCGACCAGGCCACCCGGGACAGCGAGGGCAGCAGGACACCCAGCTCCCTGGCCGGCGCAGAAATCCGCTGGGATCCTGCTGTTTCTGTGTTTCTCTCCTTCTGAAGTGAGACCGCTCACCTTGCCCAGGGCAGGGCTCTCCTGACCCTCTGCCCTGGCCGCCCTGGGCCTGGCGGCAGGGTTAGCCCGTCTCCCAGCGCCCTGGGGACTGAGCCCTGCGCACGCGGGTCCGTGCTCTCCTGATGCATCCCCAGGTGCCCAGGGAGGGTGTGGACCGGAAGCCTGAGAAGCGGACGAAGATGGACGAGTACATCCTGGCCCGCACCATGCAGCGGCTGCGCAGCGGGGCGCCTCCCAGGCAGGTGGTGTCCCGGCGCGAGTTCAAAGGCTGCCCCTTCAACAGCAAGCCCAAGGTCATCCACTTCAAGGTGAGCCCCGGTCCTGGGTCCTGGAGTGGGGGACACAGCAACACTGTCCTTACCTGCTGCCGAGGGGGCCGGGCCCCTCTCCTTGGAGGGTCAGACACCAGCCCAGGAGGCCTCAGGCACCCTTCAAAGGGGATGTGGCTTCTGGGTGTCGTGTGCAGCGAGGAGAGGGAAGACGTGGGTGGGTGTGCGTGGGTCTCTCCAGGGGGGGCGCTGTGGGCTCCAGGACGTCACCCCAGCCCTGGACCCCTCCCTGCTCCCACCTCCGGTCCCCAGGAACCTGCTTCCTGCCCCTGACTCTACCCTCACCCTGCTCCGAGGGGCCACCACGGGGAGTGCCGTGTCAGGACGCTGACCACACTTGTGAGGTGCAGTCCCCCAGGTGGCTCAGGCGCCCCTGACATGCGCTGACGCCCCTCAGGAAGCTTTGAGTGATACTTGCTGGTTTCCCCAGGACTTCGACATTGGCAAAGTGTACAAGAAGAAGATGACGTTGATAAATGCCACCTACACAATCAACTACTGCAAGCTGGAGGGTGTGGACGAGCACCTCAAAGACTTCGTCCACATTGAGTAAGGGCGTCAGGTGGGCCGTGGGGCCGCCAGTGCTGCCTGCTCGGAGCTGCACCCACAATTACTGTCCCCCTCTGCGGCTGCGGCTCCGCTGTCTCGGGGTCTCTGTGGTGGCCGGGAAGTGGCTCCTGGTGCTGGGGCCGCTGGGGCCCCTTGGCTCGGGCTTGCTGCCGGTTCCCTGGGCTCCAGATCTCTGCCCAGCCCGGAACTTTGTTCCTGCAGATACTGCCCCCCACACCTCACCCCCCACCCCCGCGTCGTCCGCACTGCCCGGTGCCCCTCCCCGTGTCCTTGCCTCTGAGCCGCCCCCTCGGACTGTCACTCACTCACTCACCTGGGGCTGCATCCAGTCGGCTCCAGACCGCTCACTCAGCCTCTTACTTCCGCTGCCATGTCTCTCATTTCCACGAGTTCTAAGTTGTTCTTCACACGAGCAGGTGCTTCTGACAGCGTCCCCCACCCCCACCCGTGTCCTCAGAGCTTCCGTTCAGTGGCTTTGCCTCCTGAAGTCCGGGGTCTGGCCCAGCCCTGCTGCCTGGCTTCTGCTCACACGCCCACCACTGGGCGCCCTCCCGCAGGACCCCACCCCCAGGGTTCTTCCCTCCCTCAGGGTCGGGGACACGACCAGCCGGGGACACGTCCCTGTATCAAGGGCTGACCTGGTTTCTCAGCCCAGCGCGCCAGGCCTGGCCGCAGACGTCCCCGGGGGTCTGTCCCACCCAGCCCGACCCGGCTCCGACGCGTCCAAGCCGTCCAAGCCGTCCAAGCCCGCTGTGCCTGCAGCCCTCTGGGCCTCTGCCTGCATGGGGCTCCCCTCCCTGCCCCCCCCCTGCTGCTAACAGCCTAGAGCCTCAGGCCAGGCCTGGCCTGTCCCAGAGCAGCTGACCACTGCCCCCACCAGCATCGGTCTCTGGAGCTGACTGCTCATTGGTCCTTCCCTCCTCCACCCTCCATTGGCTCACTCAGCAGACATTCAGATGTCCCCGGAGCGCCCCCTGTGGCCCAGCAATGGAGGTGATGGGGGGGCAGCTGCAGGCAGGGGCCGCTCCGCAGTGCCCGTAGGCAGGCGCCGTCTGTCTGTCCGTCCGTGGGGATCTGACAACAGACTGTGCCCACAGCTTCGACCCCCCTGGCTCCATGTCAGCCGGTATGTCCTGCGAAGTGCTGGTCACCTTCAAGCCCCTGGTGAGTCTCGGCCCAAAACCAGAGGAGTGAAGGGGCTTCTCTCCACTCGCCACGGAGGGGGGGGGCCTTGCGTCCCTGCTGCTTCTCGGCTCCGTGGACCGACAGCCGATGGCGGGCTATGACGGCCTGTCGGGGGCTCACGCGGGCCCCTCTGTCACCTCTAGGGCGCCCGCACACGCTGCGTGCTGGACAGAGCCGCAGGCGCTGTCGGGCTCACTGGCGGCAGGTGTGGGGTCTGTGCTGGGGTGTCCCGCAGCCCTGGCAGTGTGCCCACCTCCGGGGCAGGCGGGCCGGCCCAGGCTGCGCTTGTCAGACGTCACACTTGCCACCAGGAAAGTTACACGCGTTCGTGCCGGTCGGGTTGTATCTTCCAGATCAATAAAGACCTGGAAGGCAAGGTCTCGTTTCTGGCTCAGACCGGCAGGTTCTCGGTCCCGCTGAAGTGCTCCACAAAGCAGTGCTCCGTGAGTCCCAGGCGCCTGAGCCGTGCTTTCGGGGTGTCCTGGTGGGAACCGGTGTGGGGAGTGAGGTGGGCCACGTCTCCACCGCAGCCACCAGGGCCTGGCAGCTCAGGGAGGCTCCCACACTGTCAGCAGGTAGAGGCCTCGGGGCCTCTGAGACCACACTCACCTCCACCTGGAGCAGCCCTGTGCGGGCAGAGCCCAGCCCGTGGGACCTGAGGGTCATCGCCGGGGAGTCTGGGCCTCTCTGCAGCTCTGGGGTGTCCCCGTTAATTCTCACCAGAGGACTTTTGTTGTTGTTAATCCTCACCCAAGGATGTTTTTTCCATTGCTTTTTAGAGAGAGTGGGAGGGAGGGAGAGAAAGAGAGAGAGAAACATTGATTGCCTCCCATGTGAGCCCCAACCAGGGCCAGGGATTGAACCTGCAACCCAGTTACACGCCCTGGACTGGGAATAGAACCTGCGACCCTTCGGGGTACAGCCGACGCTCCCACCACTGAGCCACACCGGCCTGGGGGCGTCTTCTTTACTCGTTTGTCTGCCCGTGGACAGGTTGCTTCCATGTCCTCTGCTGTGGACAGCGCTGCAGCGAACCCCTCAGTCCCTGGTCTCACTCCCCGTGCACAGAGCCCGGAGTGGGGTCACTGGCTCGGGCGGCAGCTCCGCTTTTGATTTTTTGAGGAAACACCATAGTGTTTTCCACAGTGGCTGCACCAGTCTGCATTCCCACCAGCAGTGTATGAGAGTCCCCTTTTCTCCACACCCTCGCCAGCTCTTGTTGTTTGATGATTTGTTGATGGCGGCCATTCTGACAGGTGTGAGGTGATACCTCAGTGCTTTTAATTTGCATTTATTTCTCTGATGATTAGGGATGTTGAGCATCTTTCCATATGTCTGTCTGCCACCTGTATGTCCTCTTTGGAGAGGTGTCTCTTCAGATCCTCTGCCCACTTTTTAATTGGGTTGCGGGGTGTTGCTGTTCCGCTGTGTGAGTTCTTCATGTCCTGGATGGTGCCCCCTCATCAGGTGCCCGGTTTGTGAATTTCTCCTTCTGTGGGGCCTTTCGCTGTGTGGAGTTTCCTTTGCTGTAGACAATCGACTCCTTGCTCCGTGAGACGTGCTTCAGGCACAGCGAGGAGCAGGGAGCCAGCTGCCGGGGACATCCATCTGGGCGCCCGGACCCGCCGTCAGCATTTGCTCCGTCTGCTGTTGACCCCTCAGTGCAGCAGCTGCTCCAGGGCGCTCACCCCACAGCCCTGGAGCACTCGGGCCGACGGCCACGCCGTCCCAGAGCCCGTCCCTGCCCTCACTGGACTGGTCAGCTCCAGCCCAGGCGCTGCGTGACGGCGACTCCTTTGTTCACGGCTGCAGCAGCGAGGAACTCGGTCTCCAGGCTGCAGGTGGGCAGGGCCCCCGCCGTGGGGACAGCAGCTTCCCCAGCCGACCACACGAGCACATTTCAGGCCTCCCTCGGGTCACCTCCCAACTGCGTGGCCAACGGGGGTCCCGTAGCAACACACAGCGCAGAGAGGTGCCCCAGGCCGAAGGGATGGAGAAGTGAGAACGGGGCCCGATGGTCTATGCTAAGACTGACGGCATCTCTAATTGTCACTCGGATGTGCGGTCGTCCCCAAACCCAAGCCCTTTGTTCCTGTGACTCGGCTAGGGTCACTCAAGGTCACACACTGTGTGTGGAAACGCTCTGGGCCCCCTTCCTTTCCTCAGCCCCACCCCCTCCGAATGGAAACTGCCCCGCAGACACTCACTCCCCGCCCCTCCCGCTGCCTTCGGCCCGGGGCACCGGCCTCCTCTGAGTGCCTTACATAAGCGGCATCAGCCGTGTCCGCCCTCCATGACTGGCCACTTCACTCAGCAGCGTGTCCTCGAGGTGTGTCGCATGGAGGACAAGGCCGGCGGTGAGGGGCCTCGCGTCCTGAGCCCGCCCTCCGCCTCCTCCCCTGGTCGCTGTCTTCCTGATTCTTGTAGTGAAAGGTTCAGACCCTTTCTCCTGCCCTCAGGTGCCCTCTCCCTGTGGCCACCACGGGGTTGCTTCGACCTGAAGCCTGAACCCCGGTCTGTACAGCCTCACTCACCCCTTCAGGGTCGAGGTCACCAGTCCACCTCTGTCACGGGGGCGTCCAGTGACCAACCAGCTCTGCAGCGGGCAGACTGGGAACAGCTGTTGCCATGGTGACCTTGGCACTGAGCGTGGCCTCGTCGCTCCCTGACGGCCTCACCTCCTGCGTCCTGCCCCCCGAGTGTGTCTCGCAGGGACATCCAGAGGCCACGGACTCCTCCACTTTCGTATCTATGGGAATGTCTTCATTTCTTCCTCATTTTTGAAGACTGGGAAGTCATCTCTCCAGGGGGTGTTGTGTCCAGCTGAATCTCGGGGGCTCTGTCAAGACAAGGAAGAAGGGAGCATGGCTGGAGGGGTGCCCCGTGGGCCCTGCAGCCATCCAGACGTGTGCATGCACCCTTCTGCCCTTCCCCCTCACGGAGCACATCAGCCCCTTCCCAGGGCGGCCGCCAGGGCCACTGGGCATGGCCTGCGCCCAGCATTGCTGTCTCCGTGTGGTGCCCACCCACCCCGTGCACGGGCATTCACGCCCACACAGTACTGCTCTCACACGGCGCCAGGACAGCCAGGCAGGTGGCCACTGAGGACCGGGCATGTGCACCACACACACCACGGGCAGGCACACGCCTGAGCCCCTCTCCTCCCCCCAGGTCTGGGGGGTGCTCTGCTTCCTCGGGGTTTGGTCCTGTAGGCTTCGTGCCTCTAGGGGTCTGTCCTCTCATCCAGGCCGTGCAGACTGCCGGCCTGTGAACAACTGTCCCCAGTTCTCGCTCATGACCGCGGGGCTGCTGTGGGGTCAGCAGCGATGCCCACCTCCGCGTCTGAGCTTGGTGATTCGAGTCTTTCTTAGTCCATCTGGCTACAGGTTTGCATCCTGTCGGTCTTGTTGTTGTTTCCTCTGTTGTTTTTCCTTCTCCGTGTCGTTCTCTCCGCTCTGATCTGCGCCACGTCCTTCCTCCGGGAGCTCTGGGCTCTGTCCGCCGCCCCGGCCGGCTCCTCACGCCGTGGTTGGTGCTGACCTCGGCCTGTCCTGTCCCCTGTCAGTGCCTCAGCGACCGAGCACCCTCTCCGCACCCGCTGAGCTCTGGGCGTCGTGGCTTGTTTCCTTCTGTCTCTCAGGATTTTCTGATTCCTCTTGGATTCTCGTCTGGTCCAGTGGTCGTTCGAGAACCTGTCGTTTATTTTCCACGGCTTTGTGAGTGTTGCGGTTTTCCTCCTGCTGCTGATTTCTGACTCCACCTGCTGCGGCTGGAGACGGCACTTGGTGTGAGACCACGTTTCCGTCTGAGACTCAGTCGGTGCCTCACGTGTGTCCTGGAGAACCGGCCACGCGAGCGGGACCCGTACTGCTGCTGGAGGCAGGCGCTGTCTGTCTGCCAGGCCTCACCGTCCGTCCTTTGTCCGGGTCCTCCGACCCGTCTCCTCAGCGTCACCTGCCCGGCTGTCCTGGCGCCGTGTGAGAGGAGTGTTGTAGAACCGCTTCTCCCTTCACTTCTGTTGACTTTTGCTTTGTGCACGTGTTTTGAGGGCCTCACAGGGTGTAAGTGTCCACAGCTGCTACGTGTCCTTGCTGTGCTGAGCGTCTATTAACATGTGACCACTCATCTTTCTGTCATTGCCATAGTTTTGCCTTTCCCAGAAAGTCACAGCGTTGGACTCGTCCGGGGCGGGCCTTTCCAGACGCTGTTCCCGACAGCAGACCCTCGGGCCCCGCATCCGCTCGCAGCTCGATAGCTCGTTCCTTTCGGCCGGCTTGGCTTTTTACTTATTTATTTATTTTTATCCTCACCCGAGGACTTTTTTCCATTTTTTGCTCAGATAGAGTGGGAGGGAGAAAGAGAAACATCGACATGAAAGGGACACATCGAGTGGCTGCCACCCACACGACCAACCAGGGCTGGGGACAAACTGCAACCGAAGTACATGCCCTTAGCGGGAACCGAACCTTGGTCTCTCTGGACCGCAGGCCGACGCTCTAACCACTGAGCAACACCGGCCAGGGCTGGCTTGAGCTTTTTAAAAATTGAACTCAGGTGCTCTCAGAGGTCGTGATCATTCCACAACCTGTAGTTTCAAGGAGGGGGACCCTCTCCCTGGGTGCGCAGCCCCTGCCTGTCCTCCTGGAGCCAGAGGCGGCTCACCCAGCAGGAGGCGGGGCAGGGCTCCCTGGGCCTCGGGCTGTGACGGGTGGGCCTGCTGCCGCCTGCGCACTCACCTCGCTCGCCCTGTGAGCAGCTGTCCCTGGACAAGGATCTCATCGACTTCGGCAGCTACGTGGTGGGTGAGACCGCGTCCCGGGTCATCACGCTGACCAACACGGGGGGCCTGGGCACCGAGTTCACGTTTCTCCCCGAGTCTGAGGGCCACGAGACGGACTTCTCCACGTCGGTCATGAGAGTGGTGAGTGCCGCGGGGCCGCTCAGCGAAGCCCCGGTGAGATGGAAGAGGGTGCAGAGGGACCTGTGCACATGGGGCTGGGGGGCCCGGTCAGTGTGAGTGGGAGACACCGGCTCCAGGAGGAGGACAGAGTGGTGGCCAGCAGCCCCAGGACCCCACCTCTCCACGTGCGCCTCTGAAGTCCAGGCGGGGGCAGGCGGCAGAGGGGCCTCTCCTCCCCAGAGGCTGTGCCGATGTGCTGCCAAGTGGTCACCACAGATGATGCCAGGCACACCCTGGGCACCTGAGGGCACAGTCGGGGGGATGATGGGTGAGAGAGGCTTTGCGTTTTTATTTTTATTTTTTTCTTTATAGATTTTTAGAGAGAGAGGAAGGGAGAAGGGAGAGAGGTAGAAACATCCATGAGAGGGAACATCGACTGGCCGCCTCCTGCACGCCCCCCACTGGGGATCGGGCCCACAACCTGGGCATGTGCCCTGACCCGGAATCGAACTGGCGACCTCTTGGTGCAGGGTCAACGCTCAACCACTGAGCCACACCGGCTGGGCAAAACTTTGCCTTTTTATTTTATTTTTTAAACTTTGCCTTTTTATTTTTATTTTATTTTTTTTTCCTCACCCGAGGACATTTTTCCATTTTTTGTACAGACAGAGTGGGAGGGAGAGAGAGGAAGAGAGAGAGAGAAACATCCACGTGAAAGGGACACATCGAGTGGCTGCCTCCCTCACGACCAACCAGGGCCGGGGACAAACTGCAACCAAGGTACATGCCCTTAGCGGGAACCGAACCCGGGTCTCTCCGGACCGCAGGCCGACACTCTAACCGCTGAGCCAAACCGGCCAGGGCTAAACTTTGCCTTTTTATTTATTTTTATTTTTTATCCTCACCCGAGGATATTTTTCCATTTTTTGTACAGATAGAGTGGGAGGGAGAGAGAGAGAGAAACATCGACGTGAAGGGACACATCGAGTGGCTGCCACCCGCACAACCAATCAGGGCCGGGGACAGACTGCAACCGAAGTACGTGCCCTTAGCGGGAACCGAACCCGGGTCCCTCCGGACCGCAGGCCGACGCTCTAACCGCTGAGCCAAACTGGCCAGGGCAAACTTTGCCCTTTTAAAACACTCATCCAGTCCTGGCTGGTTTGGCCCAGCAGTTGGAGCATCGGCCCTTGGACCAAAAAGTCCCAGGTTCAGTTCTGGTCAGGGGCATGTACCTTGGTTGCAGTTCAGTCCCCGGCCCTGGTTGGGGTCGCGTGGGAGGCAGCCACTCGATGTGTCTCTCTCATGTCAGTGTTCCTTTCTCTCTCTCCTCTCCCTGAAGATAAATGGGAAAATATCCTCAGGTGAGGATTTGAAAATAGATAGATAGATAAAACACCCACCCAGATTGGCTCCACTTCCCATGAGAAGCAGTGAGCTCCTGCTGTCAGCTCTGTCCCCGGTGAGGGTCTTCAGAGGCCTGGACGGGCCCCGGGTGGGGTCTCCAGGCAGCGAGGTGCACCGGCTGCTGTGGCAGAGGTGGGAGGGGCCGGGTGTGACCGGAGCAGGGCCCGGGATGGTGGGTGATGAGGGGCACAGGGTGGGGACGAGTGCCCGGGCCCCTCAGCGTGCTCCTCGGGCACCGCCCTGTTCTCTGGTGGGCATCTGTCTACCTGGACAGCGGCTCCACCCAAGCCCTGCCCTGTCTGACCCCCCCCCCCCAAGTCACATGTGGCGGGTGTTGTCACTGTTGTCAGCACGGCGGAGGGGTGGGGTGCTGTGACCTCTGGGACAGAAGCAGGGGTGGGGCCGGGGCAGCCCTGGCCTGCAGCCGGGCTGGAGCCAGGAGAGCGTGGGGCTGGCGGCGGGAGAAAAGCCTCTGGCCCTGAGCCCAGAGGGAGGAGCAGCACCGGGAGGAGCCCCTGGGCCAGCTTGCTGTGGGCTGCAGGCTGCAATGGGCCGAGCCGGGCTGGCAGAGACAGACCTGCAGGAGCCGCAGCCTGCAGCCCAGCCAGGGCCGTCCTGGGGCCTGGGTCCGGGCATGGAGTGAGGAGGGCAGGTGGGAGCGCCACCAGGGGTCGCGCTGTCTTTCCAGAGCAGCGTCTTCACGTCGGAAGACAAAGGCATTTACGATAAAGGCCTCCCCAGCATCTCCGAGCAGCAGCTGGAAGGCATCGAGTCCTCCCAGGCGGACCTGCACAGCCAGAAGGAGCAGGAGGAGCACACGGGGGGTGAGGAGCCCCCCATCCTGCCTATGCGCCTGGAGGTGCTGCTGGGCTGCAGGGCCAGGGGCCAGGCTTAGATTCCGAGGGATCGCCCACGAGAACGTAGCCATATATGCAAATAAGTGGTGGTTGTGGCGCGGATCGGGATTCGAATTCACGTTTCAGCAGACGGAAGACCTAGAGGAAATCCCCAGCTTTCAATTTGGCCACAGGGACTTTGTCCTCCTCACCACCCTTGAGGGTCCTTAATGGGACATCCGAGGAGCCCTGCGTCCTGGGTGCAGCAGCCTGGGATGGGGGAATGGGGAGGAGGGCTGTTGGGGGGCGGAGGCTCCCCTGGTGGTGTCACTGGAGGCACAGCTGCCTGGGCCCTGGACTCTGGGGGAGCCTGTAGCACATGGCTGTAGAGTGGGCGCCTCACCGCCTTGCCTCCCCCTGGTGTCCATGTGCTCGGGTCCCCAAAAGGCCGGTTCTGCTCCGGCCTCCGAGGGACAAAGTGCAGGGAGCAGTCCTCCCGTGGGCTCTGTGCTCAGCTGAGCTAGCCATGCGTCCACGCTGAGGCACGTGCTTCCTGCTCCCGCCCCTCGCGTCCGTTCACACACACCCACCGCAGGGCCACGTCTGTGTCCGCTTGTGTGGGCTGCACCAGGGCCGGCGCTGCCTCGTCTCCCCACATGCTGAGTCCACTCTGCCGGCAGGGCTCAGGCGGGGCACCAGCACAGCCACCGGCCACAGCTGCCGCGCACGCCTCCCTGTGCGCTGGGGCAGGGGCTCCTCTCCCACAGGCCTGCTGGCTGTCCGCGTGCTGCTGCGCGGTCCCTGGTCCCCCACACGACGCGCTGTGGCAGGAGGAGAGGCTGCCGCTGTCGCCTCCCAGGCTTTTCACTGCACGATGGTCTCTTCTCAAACCAGCGTTCGTTTTTGCTCTTCAGTTTATTTTTTATTGTTGACAGTGTTAAAGATGCCCCTGTTTTCCCCACACTTCGCTCTCCACCCGGCCCCGCCACATCCCAGGCCCTCCTCATGCTGTTGTGTCTCTTTGGTCTCTGCGTCTGTGCACATGTGCTTTGGTTCATCTTTTCCTGCCCCTCCCTCCTCCCTTCCCCCGAGAGCTGTCACTGTTCCCTACTTCCGTGTCTCTGGATCTGGTTTTTTTTCCTTCATTGATTTTTAGAGAGAGAGGAAGGGAGAGGGACAAATAGAAACATTGATGAGAGAACATCGACTGGCCGCCTCCACCATGCCCCCCACTGGGGATTTGGCCCACAACCCGGGCATGTGCCCTGACTGGGAATCGAACTGAGACCTCTCAGTCCATGGCCGATGCTCAGTCCACTGGGCAACACCAGCCGGGCTCCAGATCTATTTTGTTCAGTTTATTTTGTTCATTAGATTCCACATATAGGTGAGCTCACATGGTACTTGTCTTTCTCTGACTGGCTTGTCTCACTCAGCATAATACTCTCTGGGTCCGTTTGTGTTGTCTCACAGGCTGAGATCTTTCTGCATTGAGTATGATGTTGGCTGTAGGTTTGTCATTTATGGCCTTTATTATGGTGAGGTATGATCTCTCTATTCCCACTTTACTGAGAGTTTTTATCAAAAATGGGTGCTGGGCCCGGCCGCTGTGGCTCAGTGGTTGAGCGTCGACCCACGCACCAAGAAGTTGCCAGTTCGATTCCCAATCAGGACACATGTCCAGGTTGTGGGTCCAGTACTGTGGGGGGCGGGGGGGTACAGGAGGCGGCCAGTCAGTGTTCTCTCTCATAGATGTTTCTATTTGTCCCTCTCCCTTCCTCTTTCTATAAAAATCAATAAAGAAAAAAATTTTTTTTAATGGGTGCTTGATTCAGCCAGTGTGGCTCACTGGTTGAGTGTCAAACCCTGCACCAGGAGATTGCTGGTTCAATTCCCAGTCAGGGCACATGCCTGGGTTGCAGGCTCGGTCCCCAGTAGGGGACATGCAGGAGGCAGCCGATCGATGTTTCTCTCTCACATTGATGTTTCTATCTCTCTCTCCTTTCCTCTCTCTCTAAAAAGTCAATTAAAATGTATTTTTAAAAAGAAACCCCAGTCAGTGGGTTAAACTGTAGATTAGACTTTGCTGAAGAGAGAATTAGTGAACTGAAAGACAGACCCAGAGGAAATCTCTAAATGCAGACAGAGGGACAGATGGAGACATGAAGGAAACGGCACGATCCCCGGAGGACAGTGTGAGCTCAGATGTGTCTGCTGGAGTCAGGAGAAGGCAGCATTTGAAGAGGTGTTTGTTGAGAACTTCCTGAAATGTCAAAACCCAGCTGGCTCACGTTCAGGAAGTGAGTGAATAGCACCCAGTGAGTGACAACGGGACAGACGCCAGGGGCCGGTACACTGGACTCGTGGTAAAGGGACCTTCCAGACCATGCTTGGGCCTGGCTCCAGAACTGATGGAGCTCGTGTCCCCAGCAAATGGGTCACCACGGCTCCAGCTGCGACACCAAGAGACCCCCATCGCCAGCCACGCAGAACGAAGCAGCCGACCTCATACTCAGGCCTGTGCTGCCACAGTGGTCACTCCTGCAGCACCCAAGGACTCGCCCCTCCTCCCCTGCCCAGGAGACAGCTGTGGCCTCTGGGAGGGGGACAATTCCACCAAGTTTCAGGAGCCCGGAACTGGGGGCCTGCGGCCTTCACCACCTCAGCCCGATGCGGTGCACAGCCCTGCAAGCAACAGCTCCGCCCACCTGGGGCCATGGCGCAGAGCCTGGAGCCGTCCTTGGGCGGCTGGGCAGCTGGGCAGAGGATGGCGTGGAGAGCAGCCGCACCCCTCAGGCCTTGACTGTCCGCACAGTCAGCGGAAAGGCCACATGAGAGGACACGGCGTCTGCTCTCAGGAGCCTTCCTGATAAATGGGCTGCTTTCTGGAGGTGCCCTCTGAGCCCCAAGGGGCAGGTCAGAGTCCACTGCCCACGTGTGGGGGAGAGGTGATTGGAACAGGTCAGCAGCGGCACACAGACAAAACTAAGTACCTCTGAAAAGTTAGGCTATCAGCTTGGCTTATGAAAGTCTAGAAAGATGATATTATTTAAAATGTTTCCCCTGGCCGGTTTGGCTCAGCGGTTAGAGCGTCGGCCTGCGGTCCAGAGAGACCTGGGTTCGGTTCCCGCTAAGGGCACGTACTTCGGTTGCAGTTTGTCCCCGGCCCTGGTTGGGTCGTGTAGTGGCAGCCACTCGATGTGTCCCTTTCACATCGATGTTTCTCTCTCTCTATCTCTTCCTCTCTCTCCCTCCCTCCCACTCTATCTGTACAAAAAATGGAAAAATGTCCTCGGGTGAGGATAAAAAAAAAAAAAATGTTTCAGGACCACCCTGGCTGGTTTGGCTCAGCCGTAGAGCATTGGCCCACAGACCAGTGAGTCGAGGGTTCGATTCCAGCCAAGGGCACGTACCTTGGTTGTGGTTTGTCCCTGTCCTGGTTGGGGTCGTGCGGGAGGCAACCAGTCAGTGTTTCTCTCCCTCCCTCCCACTCTAGCTGAAGAGAAATAGAAAAATATCCTCGGGTGAGGATTAAAAACAATTTTTTTTTAAATAAAATGTTTCAGGACTCCCCAGGTGGTGGGGAGCCGCTGCCCCCGGGCCACACTCCTGCAGCCTGCCCCCCCCTTCCCGCACCAGCCGTCCCTCTCCCTGCCCCGCCAGTCCTCACGTCTGAAGCTCCTTCTTTTCCAGAATCAGAGGGAGTCACCACCATCCTGGCCACATTCCCCAGTGAGGAGCTATCGGAGTTCTCGCTGGGAGAGGTCAGTGAGGCCCGCCTTCCTCCAGCTCCACCCTCCCGATCTGCTGACCCTGACCCAGGGTGGCCCTGCCATTGGGCCAGAGCCAGACTCGACTTATCTGCCCACTGGACTTGAAGCCTCTGGGCAGCCGGTTTGCCTGAGCCCACATTCAGCCACCGGCCACCCTAGTCCCAAGCTGAGACCTGGCAGGACCAGAGCAGCAGCGGCTGACATCTGGGTGCCCTTTGCAGGGCAGAGCCACACTTGGGACCAGTGTCCTCGTGGCCAAGACACCCCAGGCACACTCACCCCACAGTGACATGGCCCGTGGTGAGGGCAGCGGGAGGCGCCTTTGTGGAACCTGAGGCCTGACGCCCTGTGGCATCTGTCTTCTGTGCAGATAAGAGAGGGTGAGATTGGCCCCTTCAGCTCCATCAAAGTGCCCATCATCTTCTCCCCAGTCACCCCGGGAGCCGTCCAGACCAGGTTCAAGGTCACATTCAGGAATCCACAGTGCCCAACAGTGAGTGTCCTGCATCAGTTTCTGCACACGCCGCACAGGACGGCCCTTCCCTGGGTGCGGGTCCCTGACCACATGACCACGGGAGGCGGCTGCCCATGCCACTCACATGTGGATGCCTGGGTGGTGGCACAGACCCGTACCTGTTGGTGCCCATACCCAGAAATGATACACATCCATGCGCGCGCGCGCACACACGTCCACGTACACATGTGCATCTTCATATGAACGTGTCCACACACGTGCCCATGTGTGCACACGTCCATGCACACACCTTATACACATGCCCATGTACACACATCCATGCCCATGCACATATATACACGTGTGTGCACACTTGTAAACATGTTTGTGCGCCCGTGCCCCCACACACCTGTGCATGCACACCTGTGCATGTGTCTGCGTGCATATTCATGTCTGTGTCTGCACATGCATGCCCATGCACACATGGGCATGTGTCAGCACACACATGTCCAATCGTGTACATGTTTATGCACACACATCCATGCATACGCATACAGTCTTTGCTCTAAATCACTAGAAATGTCTTTCTTAATTTCTAAGTAGTTAAATTCTTTATTCATTACTTTTTATTGTTTATTTTTTATAAGTCGGTGAAATTATGCTCAGATAATATGATCTGCAAACTCTGTTTCAATGTGTTAAACTTCTCTTTGTGACCAAAGGCGAGGTCCATATGTGCCTGTGAAGATGCTATACTAGCCTAAGGGCCGCGAACAGACCTGTCAGCCAGGTCACTCCCATCAGCCGTGCCCCCACCCTTTCCACGTCAGCCTCCATAACGGCTGCGTGTGTGCCGAGTCCGCCCTACGTTTCCACAGGCGGCTTTTCACGCTGCTTTCTGTTCAGTGCGCGGGTCCCTGCTGAGTCTTCCCGGGAGCTGTGCCCTTCTCCACAGCCCCTTCCCTCGCCTGCTGCTCATGCGCCTGACATGCCAGCCCCCGAGGGTGGTGCCCAGGCCCTGCTCGCTGTCCTCCGTTGGCCTTTCCTCGCGTTCTCTCTGTGCCCCAGCACAGTCTTCCTGTTCTGTATCGCTTCGCATCTTTTAGGGGCCAGATCTGTGCACCGACCCCGAAGGACGTTCACTGGGTCTTGCTGCTTCTGTCCAACTCAGGTTTGCTGAGTGTACGACGTGCCTTCCTCTGTCACTTCCTCGTTTTCACTGGTTGATCACATTGCTCTTTATTGCATTTTATCCCATTAGATGGAAATGTTATTATTCCATGCACAGCCCTTCCCTGTCCTGCCTGGCCCGCAAGTTTCACATGACTTTCTGTTTCATATGTGGAAGGAAGAAACCCCCCCAGATGGGCTGTGTCCCCAGCAGGGCTCCCCCAGAACTTGTTAGGACCAAAGTAAAATGCAACTGGGGATCCCTTTTATTTTTTTTATTCCTCACCATAAGTAGATAAGTTTTCTACTTATCATCAGACAGAGTGAGAGAGAGGGAGAGAAACATTGATGTGATAGAGTCACATCGACTGGCTGCCTCCTGCACAACCCGACCAGGGCCAGGGACAAACCGCAACCAAGGCACGTGCCCTTGACCAGAATCAAACCTGCAACTCATTGGTCCCTGGGCCGATGCTCTAACTGCTGAGCAACACTGGCCAGGGTGGGGATCCCTTTTATTAACCCCCTTTCTTGGCCCTCAGTGTCTGGGTTTCACGCAACTATCATTAGAGTTGCTAGACCCTCCTCCAACTATGCCCCCCGCCCCCCCGCACCTCAGCAGTTCCTACCTGACAGCCACGGACCCAGGCAGGTGCCGTCTCCACCCAGGTGTGACCTCATCGTGTGTCTGTGTCTCCTCCTCTCCTCTCCCCTCTTCGCCCGTCGGGCCCCTGCTCTGGCGTGTGCCTCGCACACGGGTGGTGCAGTGACCTGTGACCCGTGCTCACACTGCTCCACCTGTCAGCATGCAGGCGGGCAGCCTCCCGGGTGACGGGTCTGGGTGCCGAGTCCCGCCCGCCTGTCCTCTGGAGCAGGGCCCCTGGTGGCACCTGCACACCCTCCCCTCCAGAGTCAGGGCACGGCTCAGTCTTCTGGCAGGAGCAGCCAGAGCAGGCTGACCTGTCCCCTCGTGCCACCAGGCTACGCCCAGATCCGCCACCTCCTCTGTCCAGGCTCTTGTTTAGTGGGCTCCCGCGGCTGACGCCTACACGCCGCCCTGAGTCCCGGCACCTCCGGGCACGTGTCCTGATTGCTCTGACCAGTCTGTCTCTGGCCCCAGAAGTGGGCAACCCTGGGACCTAGATCTGGTAGCTGCATGTTCCAAGTGTCACGAGTCCTGCAGGACGTGAGGAGCAGTCCCCCTTCCGTGCCCCCGACCAGTCCTGTGGGTGGTATCTGGGAGGGGTGGTCACCCACCCAGCCTCAAGGGCTGCTGTGCACAGGGCCTGCCCACTGGAGACCCGTGAACCCAGACCCCTGAGACCCAGGACTCTGGCCAGAGAGGCGATGCCAGGTCCACGGGGAGAGAGACCTGCGCCCCTCCCTTCCCGAGCCCCCTCCAACAGCGAACACGCTGTTCATTACGAAGCTGCATGACGGCCGCGACTGTCACACCCTCCGCTCTCTCTGTTTCGTAAGGCCGCCGCTGATTTCTCAAAATTCTTACGATAAAAAAGACTTTCTGCCCTGGCTGGTTTGGCTCAGCGGTTAGTGTGTCGGCCTGCGGTCCGGAGAGGCCCGGGTTCGGTTGCCGCTAAGGGCATGTACCTCGGTTGCAGTTTGTCCCCGGCCCTGGTTGAGTCGTGCGGGTGGCAGCCACTCGATGTGTCCCTTTCATGTCGATGTTTCTCTCTCTCTCTTCCTCTCTCTCCCTCCTGCTCTATCTGAACAAAAAATGGAAAAATGTCCTCAGGTGAGGATAAAAAAAATTTTTTTAAAGACTTTCTTTCTTTTGCACTGACAAGTGCCAGAACATGGCTGGTTTAACCGCCGCCCGCCGGAGAGCTGTCCTGCGGCTCCGCGCGCTGCGCGGGTGGAGCCCGGTGCTGAATCCACACGTCCGGATCCAGTTACATTTCAGAGTCATGGGCGTTGCCGTGGACGTGCCGGTCTGGCTGCCGAGGCCCAGCGTGGACCTGAAGATATGCATGTACGACCGGCTGTACCAGGACTCCATCCTCGTCCACACGCGGTGCGTGCCCGCCGTGTCCACTCCCTCCTCCCCGAACCTCTGCAGACTCGGGCGTGTCCGGGCCAGGCGAGAGGGTCCAGGGAGGCTGCGGAAGGCTCGGTCCGAGCCCACGGTCCCGGGCAGCCCAGGAGCAGCTCCTCCTCCGCCTGGGCAGCCGCGCCTTCTCCCTGCACTTAGAGATCACTCCGCCTGTGGGGCGGCCCGGCCCGCCGGGCGGTGTGACCAGGGGCTCCAGCAGCGCCGGGGGTGCAGCACGGCGTCCGCAGGGGGGGGGGGGCTGAGCTGGGAGCAGGGACAGAACTTACGGAGCTGCAGTCACTGGCCAAGGCCCGGCATCCGGGGGCCTCAGCGTCCTGCAGGAGGGCACGTGGGGTCCAGCCTGTCCGAACCTGTGCCTGGGGGCGGGCAGAAGCCAGTCAGGCAAGGGTCCCTCCCCCAAACTCCCCACCCCCACCTCCCCCCAACCCCCACCCTTCCAGGCCCCGCACCCAGCCCCTGCCCGAGGGTCTTCCCAAAGCACGCAGGTTTCTGAGAACCTACGGACCGGACCGTGTCCGCTGTGCTGTTTTTATTGTAAGAATTCCCATCAGATCTGGTTGCAGGAAAGCCAGCCCCTAGAGCCAGGGCCCGGGAAGCACAGCTCGGCGAGGGTGTGCGCCAGCGCCCTGCAGGGCGGGGTGGTGAGCACTGACCGATCCCGCCCGCCCGCCCGCCCGATCAAAGGCCGCAGTCCGGGCCTGTGACCCTCGCTTGCTGCAGGTCCAAAGCAGCCCTGCGCCTGAAGTTCGAGGTGTGCAGGGAGCTCAGGGGCCACATGGAGCTCCTGCCGGAGACCGGCTACATCCAGGCCCTGTCGACCTGCTCTGTGCAGCTCAAGTTCCTGCCGCGGTGAGTGCTGGGCGGGCAGCAGGGCCCGGGCCTGCGCCAGGTCCTGCTCTGCGTGTCCTGCGTTTCCTGTGTTCCCTAGCTCCTCCGGGAGTGTTCAGTTGATTTGGGGGGGAGAGAAAGGAAGAGAGAGAGAAACATGGATTTATTGTTCCACTTATTTATGTATTCATTGGTTGATTCTTGTATGTGCCCTGACTGGAGATTGAACCTGCAACGTTGGCATATCTGGATGATGCTCTAACCAACTGAGCTACCCGGCCAGGGCTAACTGCATGATTTATTTATTTATTTATTTTCTTTTTTAGCCTCACCGAGGATATTTTTCGATATTTTGTTCAGATAGAGTGGGAGGGAGAGAGAGAGAGAAACATCGATGTGAAAGGGACACGCTGAGTGGCTGCCACCCGCACGACCCAACCAGGGCCGGGGACAAACTGCAACCGAGGTACGTGCCCTTAGCGGGAACCGAACCCGGGTCTCTCCGGACCGCAGGCCGACGCTCTAACCACTGAGCCACACCAGCCAGAGCTAGCTGCATGATTTAAAAGCACCATTCAGATCCTGGCCGGTGTGGCTCAGCGGTTAGAGCGTCGGCCTGTGGACCAATGAGTCGCAGGTTCAATTCCAGTCGAGGGCACGTACCTCGTTCGCGGTTCCGTCTCTGCCCTGGTCGTGGTTGAGCGGAAGGCAACCAGACGATGTGTCTCTCTCACCTTGCTGCTTCTCTCTCCCTCTCTCTCTCTCTCTTTTCTTCCCTCCCACTCTATCTGAAGATAAATGGAAAAATATCCTCGGGTGAGGATTAAAGAAAAAAAAAAAGCATGCCCAGCCAGTGTGGTTCAGTGGTTGAGCATTGACCCGTGGACCAATAGGTTGCTGGTTCCTTTCCTGGTCAGGGCACATGCCAAGGTTGCAGGCTCAATCCCAAGTAGGGGGCCTGCAGGAGGCAGCCAATTGAGGTTTCTCTATCATCAATGTTTCTAGCTCTCTCTCCCTCTCCCTTCCTCTCTCTCTAAAATCAATAAAAACGTATTTTTTAAATTAAAATAAATAAATAAAAGCACCACCCAGTGTCAGCCTGCAGACCCAAGTGTCACATGTTCGATTTCCCATCAAGGGCACTTACCTGGGTTGCAGATTCAATCTCAGGCCCTGGCCAGGGTCGTGCAGGAGGCAACCATGGATGTTTCTCTTTCTTCCCCTCCCTCCCTTCCACTTTATCTAAAAATCGATGGAAAAAGTATCCTCGGGTGAGGATTAACAAAAAAAGTACATACATACATATATATGTAATAAGTAATAAGTAAATAAAAACAGCACTCAGATCAGTTTTACTGTTCTTTTGCAAAATGTAAACAAGAAAAGTACATGTGAGTGTACGCGCGCTTTCAGATTCTCCCTCCCGGACGACGCAAGCAAGTATTTTGACTCAGAAAGCAGAGTTCTGGAGGCCCCGATGACAATACGGGTGGCTGACCAGGTCTGTGGGGACCTCCTGGGAATGATGTGCTTTGGGGGAGCAGGGGGTGCTCTGGGAGCTGGGCTCTGCACTCCAGCAAGGCCCCTGGCGTGTTTCCAATCACCTGGCCTACACACGTGCCACGTGCCCCAGCAGCCCCTGCACAGTGGACACGAAGGGAGGAGCATCGCGGGTCAGAGGGCTTCCGAGCCCTGTCCAGGGCCACCAGGCCTGTCCCCAGCTCCCAGGCACAGTGTGCCACACACTCACAGACACACCTGCTCACACCATGCGCCCAGTCTGCCCTCACACTCAGACCACAGTGCACGGGCTGTGCACACCCTCAGTACATGGGCACGTGCACACACGTGTGCTCACACTCCCTGGCCTCCCCTGTGGCGCCTCGTGGTGACAGCTGCTTCTGTGTCCTTCCAAGTTCAGGGATGCCCCTGCCTTTCTTTTTTTTGGAAATATTTGCAAAAACCAAATATGTGACCAGAAATGCGCTCACCTTTTGCACTTCAGACCAGACCGGTGGAGTTCACCGTCCATGCCATAGTCACCACCTCAGACTTGGAACTCAACCCCTCAGAGGTGGACTTCGGCTACTGCACCATCTACGAGGCTATCAGGACCCCAGTCAGCCTCTCCAACCTCTCCCTCCTGCCCCAGGAGTTTGGGTTCGTCGGGCTCCCCAAGGTGCTTCATATGGGCAGGGAGGGGCGTGGGGGCGGGAGACTGAGTTAGGAAGCTCTGGGCACAGGTCAGGGTGGCCGCTGTCCCAGGGCCAGGCAGCCTCCCCCTCCCCACACTCCACGCCCATCTCCAGACACCTCTGCCTGGCTCTCTCTGCTTGTTCCTCTCTTCGTCCCTGCTGCCCCATGCGGTCACCCTGCCTTTCTCTGCCCCTCTCCTCTCTCTCCTTCTCTCCGGCCCACTGCACCTGCGGGACTCCAGACTCCTCTGCCTTGCCCTCCTGCCAGAATTCATGCCAGCCTGGCCCTGCGGGAGCCAAGACCAAGCCTTGACCTGGCTGCCCGTCACTCCCCGGGACGTGTTTCTCTGCAGACCCCGCCATCCACTCATAATACACACACTCACAGATGCTCACGCACACGGACACACTCACAGACACAGGCATGCACTCACATGCACACACACACAGACACACATGGACACACTCACAGACACAGGCATGCACTCACATGCACACAGAGACACTCACACACACGGACACACACAGACACAGGCATGCACTCACATGCACACACACAGACACACACACGGACACACAGGCATGCACTCACGTGCACACGGACACACACGGACACAACTCACACACAGGCATGCACTCACATGCACACAGACATGCATATGGACACACAGACACGCGTACACTCACATGCATGCAGACACACATGCACACTTACATGCACACTCACATACACGTGCTCAAATGCATAGACATGCTCACACACTAACATATACACCTCCATGCACACCAAAGTCTGCCCCACCCATCACATGTGTCCGTGCAGTACCCAGCAGATCACCGTGTTTTCTCTTTGGCGGGGGTGGTTTTCCACGTACAGTTTGTGGACATCCAGCCCAACGATGGGTTTGGGACGATCCTGCCACTGGAGACCCTGGAACTCGACCTGATCTTTCAGCCCACCAAAGCCAAGGAATACACCTTCGAGCTCGTCTGCAAGTCGGAGATCAACCGGTGAGAGCGGTGGGGGAGGGGCAGGGGCCCGCTGCCTGGTGCAGGACAGCGGCCACTGGCTGGCCAGGCTGACCACAGGCTGAGCACCATGCTGGCTGCCGGCTCCTCAGACCCGGTACAGATGCCTGGGACCCAGAGGCCTTGCAGGCGGGGCCAGCTTGAACCTGTGTGAGAGAGCAAGTGAGGGTGTGCATGTGCGAGCATATGAGTGAGTACGTGTGATGAGAGCATTGTGAACAATGTGAGTGCATGCATGCATTGAGCATGCACGTGTGTGAGTTCATGTGAGTATGCATGTGTAGACGTGTGTGAGTGGACATGTGTATGAGTGTGTGTGCATGTGAGTGCATGTGTATAAGTGTGTGGTGTGCATGTGTGAGTGAACATGAGTGTGCACGTGTGTGTTTGAGCGTGCTTGTGGGAGGACCCCACTCGCAGCCTCCTGGAGCCCCCTTCCCCACAGCTGGAGAGGGGGATGGAGCAGGATGCAGAGGGCAGTCTGGGGTCAGGGACCAGCTGTGGGGTTGTCAGCCGGGTGAGGACTGCTCTGGAGCGTCCCCGTGTGGGCATCTAGTCCCTTGTTGGGACACCTCCCCTTTGAGCCCTGCTGCCCGACCACTCCCGCCCCTCTCCCCTTCCTCTCTGTCCTGTCCCACAGAGCTCTAGCCTGGTTGCTGTTGGGTCTTGCCAGGGCCCTGAACAGCACTGACGGGGTCAGGCTGGGCCCTCATCCCACAGACCAGCCCCTCCTCTGGCCAGGCCTGGGGCAGCGTTTCCCTCGATTCATTCTGGTGTAAGGTGCGAGATACCGCGGGAAGTCCTTTCGCTTGGCTTCCAATTCACAGGTGTCGCTGCTGAGAAGTCACTTCTCCGGGACTGTGACCGAGGTCACACCCTCACCTCTCACACACTGGTGACACTATGCCTGCAGCCCTCAGACTCAAGTCTCTGCTCAGCCGAAACCAGACCTTTTCTTCCCTCCAGCGTCTTAATCACGGACATGTCAGCTGCCCCTCTCGCAGAAGGAAGCACATCCGTGCCAGCCGAGCTTCTCCCTGGTGCCTCTCGAGGGGCCTGTCTCCTCTTGCTCATAATCCAATCATTGTATAAGGACACATTTTGGCCATGGCCGGTTTGGCTCAGCAGTTAGAGTGTCGGCCTGCGGTCTGGAGAGACCTGGGTTCGGTTCCCGCTAAGGGCATGTACCTTGGTTGCAGTTTGTCCCCGGCCCTGGTTGGGTTGTGTGGGTGGCAGCCACTCAATGTGTCCCTTTCACATCGATGTTTTTCTCTCTCTCTCTCCCTCCCACTCTATCTGAACAAAATATCAAAAAAAGATGTTCTCGGGTGAGGATAAAAAAAAAACACATTTTGGTGTTGGCTCTGGGTTGATTTCACCAGGTGTGCCATGTGTTTCAAATCTTTTTTTTTTTAATATGTTGTTTTTTAATCCTCACCCGAGGATATTTTTCTATTTATCACCAGATAGGGAGGGAGGGAGGGAGGGAGAGAGAATGAGAGGGAGAGAGAGGAACATCGACGTGAGAGGGACACATCAACTGGCTGCCTCCTGCACCACCCAACCAGGGCTGAGGACAAACCCCAACCGAGGCCCGTGCCCTTGGCCGGAATCGAACCCACGACTCATTGGTCCGAAGGCTGACTCTCACCGCTGAGCCCAAACCAGCCAGGGCAACGTGTTTTTGAGGAACGGGGAGAGAGAGAAACAGTCCATGGGCAGGGGAGTCCTGACCGGGAATGGAACCACGGCCTCTCCGTCCACGGGCTGACGCTCCATCCACGGAGCCACACCGGCCGGGCTCAGATATTTTTTTAAAATTTATTTCAGGAACATTTCCTTGAATTTTTGTCCTTAATGTTTGCTTTGGTTTCCTCCCCTGGGGCCTCCTGTTACGAATGCGATGGGTCTCGGCTGCGTCTTCCCCAGCGGCCCCTCCATCCCCCGTGGCCTCTCTGTGGTGGAGAAGGACCTGCTGTGTCCCTGCGTCCCAGCTCCTCCTCCTGGAGTCTCCACCTCTGCGCTGCTCCTTCGCGATTCTTCCTGGCTCCGCCGTGCTCAAGTCGTCCAAGTGCCCGCGGGACCCCGCGACCCGCCCTGCTCGGTTCTCTTTCCTCTGAAGACTCCGCCGGCGACCTGTTCGACCTTGACCTGTCCTTGGCTCGTCCCCTGTGCAGTCAGTGCTGAGCTTTGGGCGGCTGTTCGCGGCCCTTTTCTCGCTCGGCGGCTCCAGCGCGCCCTCTGCAGGGCGCGGGCGCGAAGTGCGGGGAAGCGGGTCTGGCAGGTCGGACCGCGCTGACACCGGGCCACCCGGTTGGCGGTTGGCGGCGGTATGCTCCGCCCGATCCACCTTTTGCCTTCGCGTCGCTTGGCGCTTGAAGAGGCCAGTCTGAAAAACAGCCATCTGTTTTCTTCTAAAGATGTTTTTACTGATTTTTTTAAAGAGAGGAAGGGAGAGAGAGAGAAACATGGATCGGCTGCCTCCTGCACGTCCCGACGGGGCATCATCGGGTCTGTAACCTGGGCACCTGCCCTGACCCATCCACCTGGGCCCCCGGGCCCATGCTCCGTCCACTGAGCCACACTGGCCAGGCAAAATCAACCATCTGCCCTCTCTTTTCAAGAATTAGGGAAATGTTATAGCAAATGAAACCCAAAGAAAGTAGGAGGAGCCTGGCCGGCGTGGCTCAGTGGTTGAGCATCCACCCTGCACCAAGAGGTCACTGGTTCAGTTCCCCATCAGGGCCCTTGCCCAGGTTGGGGGCCCAACCCCCAGTGGGGGGCATGCAGGAGGCGGCCAATCTATGTTTCTCTCTCTTCCTCTCCCTTCCTCTCTAAAAAAAACGAAAGTAGAAGACATAACAATGAGTAGAAATCAGTGGAACGGAAATCAGATATTCAACAGTAAAACAACAAAACTAAAAGTCTCTTTCTGTAAAAATTAGTAAAGTCATTACTCCTAGCAAGACCAGTCATAGAGAGAGAGAGAAGCCACAGCCCTGGCCAGGGTGCTCAGTGGCTAGAGCGTCTGCCTTGGGTTCGATTCCCACTTCACGGCTCATGCAGGAGGAAAGCAGTGGATGTGTCTCTCTCACATCGATGTTGCTCCCCCCCCCCATCACTTCCACTCTCTCTAAAAACCAATGGGGAAAAAATGTCCTCGAGTGAGGATTAACAAAAAAGAATCAGTAAATAATCCCAATCTTGCAGTAATCTTCCAAAGGACAGAAAGAGAAGGAAAACCTCTCTGCCATCATGGTGCAGCCGGGGGTGAGGGGTGGTGGATGCTGGGAATTGGGGAATGTTCAGGGCGGGGCTCAGGGCCAGCCGGGCACACTCCCGAGCTGAGCACCACCACCAGCCGCCTACGTGAACAGAAGGACCAGGCTGGAGGGGTGCTGGTACGCAATCAGCAGACGTGCATTGGCAGCCTGTGTTGGGTGACAGGGAACGGTCATCCTGCCCTTTCTCATGGTCGTGCATTAAACCCACTGCCTCCTGGTCACAGGGAGACAGCCGGGTGCCTGATGCGACCCCTGACCCCTGAGGGGCAGGCAGGGGCTTCGGTTCTCTCCCAGCCACAAACGACGGGGGGCCTGAGTGAGGTGCCAGAGGGGGACCGTCCGGAATAACGTTGGGAGACGTGCTGCCCGTGAGTTTGGGGCGTATGAAGGCAGAAGTCAGCCTGGCTGTGGCGGCTCACAGAGCGTCGGCCTGTGGACCAGAGTCTCGGGTTCGATTCCAGCCAAGGGCACGTGCCTCGCTGCGGTTCGTCCCCGGCCCTGGTTGGGGTCATGCAGGAGGCAACCAGTTGGTGTGTCTCTCTCACATCAGTGTTTCTGTCTCCCTCCCTCCCTTCCTCCCTCCCACTCTATCTGAAGATAAATAGAAAAATATCCTTGGGTGAGGGTTAAAAATGAAAATAAAGAAGTTCACAGGGTTGAGTGACACTGGGGAGCATCCCTGTTCCCGCCTAAAAATGAAGCCCAGGCCAAGAGGCCACAGGACCTGAACCAACTGGGAGACGGCAGCTCCAGCTGCCTTCCTGCAGGACATGGCGCTCAGGCAGTGGTGCCCACTCTCCCCTGTGCTTCTCGGTCAGCTGAGTGCGCACGAGAACCTCGGTGCTCGCGAGCCTGGGGTCACAGGACATAAATGCCTACTTCGAAGTATCGCGACGTGTGAACACGCTCTCGCCACAGACAAGTAGGACAGGGCGCCAGACGCTGTGCAGTCAGGATGAAGTCCCGCGGACAGTGCTGTGGGGCCAGGAGCGCAGAGGGGCGTGGAGTGTCCGCTCCCGGTAGTTGGAACACCGCTGCCCCTCTGGTCGAAGGAACTGACTGTACACACCTCTGTGCTTGTACCTAGAGCACTTTATTCATTTTGTTTTGTTTATTTTTTTCCCTTTATTGATTTGAGAGAGAGAGAAAGTGAGAGGGAGAGAGAGAAACATCGATGAGAGAGAACATTGATTGGCCGCCTCCTGCATGCGCCCCGTTGGGGATCAGGCCCACAACCCGGGCATGTGTCCTGACTGGGAATTGAACTGGCGACCTCTGCATGCACAGGTCAGTGCTCAACCACTGAGCCACACCAGCCAGACCATTTTGTTTTTTTAGATGTTAATAAATGTTTAACAAAATAAGCCAGACATTACCTCCTTAGCAACTGTTTGACCTGGTGATTGAAAGTTTAACTGTCCACTTAAAAAGTGCACAGAGCCCTGGCTGGTTTGGCTCAGCGGTTACAGTGTCGGCCCACCAACCGAAGGGTTGCGTGTTCGATTCTCCGTCAAGGGCACGTACCTGGTTTGCAGGTCCAATCCCCAGCCCTGGTCAGGGTCATGGGGGAGGCAGCTGCTCGATGCATCTGTCTCACATCGATGTTTCTCTCTCTCTGTCTCCCTGTCTCCCTCCCTTCCACTCTATCTAAAAATTAATGGAAAAATATCCTCAGGTGAAGATTAACAACAACAACAAAAAAGTGTGCAGAGCCCTGGCTGGGTAGCTCAGTTGGTTAGAGCATCGTCCCAATACGCCAAGGTTACGGGTTTGAACCCCATTCAGGGCACACACAGGAATCGACCAATGAAGGCGTAAATAAGGGGAATGATAAATCTGTCTGTGTGCGTGCGTGTGTGTGTGTGTGTGTGTGCAGAGAGACACATAGTTGGTTCAAAATTCATTAAAATTAACAGACTAGTGAACGAAACCTATGACAACTGACGTTGTCCTGGGCACCCCTTGAGTGAGTCACTCCACACTCGGGGGGCTGCCTTGTCTCCACTCAGAGGCACCTGGCCAGGCCTCGGAGGGACCCCGTGCGCTGCAGCCAGGTGCCCCTGGCTGAACCTGCCCCTCCTGGTCACTTCAGGTGCTTCAAGATGACCTGCCGGGCTGTGGGTGTCCACCCGCCCCTGGAGCTGTCCCACTACCAGATCAAGTTTGCGGCCACTTCCCTGTACGACACGTCTGTGGCCACCCTGTACGTCGTCAACTCTCACCTGAGCACGAACTCGATGACACACTCCGTGCCCCGCATCGGTTCAGGGGAAATCTGCCCCGTGGGGCCCACGTCTTTCGAGTTCCTGCTGCCCCCAGACTCGCCCATCACCATCTCGCCCTCGGTGGGGACAGTGCTGCCAGGAAAGGTGAGTGGGGCCCCATGGGGGGGATGGCCCCACAGACTGGCTCCTCCCCCTTGACCACAGCAGCTGACCTGCAGCGGCCCAGCCCCAGGCAGGGGAGCCACACACTGTCCCTGCAGGCGCCTGGCTGGGCTCGGGCAGGGGAGCCTTCTGGAGGGGCACAGTCCTCGGACCTCAGGCAGGGCAAGTGGGCTCAGAGGCCTGGGCCCCAGGAGCACAGCGCGTCTGCCTGGGTTGATCCACCGTTTTCCCTACTAGTCTTTTCCCAGTAGAGCAGAAAGAGCCCGCCCGTCCCCCCAGGGGATCGCAGCTTCTTTGAGCTCAGTTCCTGACCTTGAAAGTTAGGGGTGGCAGCCACTGTGCGCCTGCCTGCCGTTGAGAGGACTGAGAGGGGACCTGCAGCTGGGGGTGGGGACCGCCGGGTTTCAGTAAGTAGGACTCTTTAAAGCGTATTTCATTAAATTTTGCAAATACTGCTTAAGTAATGGTGCCCAAAGGGGTTATTACAGCTGCACTTGTGTCCCCTCCCCGTTCCTGTCTCTCTCCCCCTCCGTCTCTTCCTCTCGCCGTCCCTCTCTCACATCCCCCACACGCCACACACCCCACCTGACATGCACTGAGCACCTTGCTATAGTGGACACTGGGAGCCCACGGTCGTGGAGCAGGTCAGGGTGCAGGAACTCACCCCTGAATCTCAACGATTGAGAACGAAGTTCTCTTCTCCCTCGTGCAGTGCACAGTGAACCGGTCCTGGGCCAGCCTGGCCTCCATCACAGGACCCCACCCACGGGGCAGGGTGAGCCTGGTAATCACGCTCAGCAGCTCACCCCAGCTTCCAGGAGGGGGTGCTCGGGGAGGCCTTCCTGGAAGAGGCATGCTAAACCGAAATCCCCAAAAAGAGTACCAGCAGGCCCTCGAGGGGCCGAGGAGCTGGAGGCAGTGGGTGCTGAGGGCAGGCATCTCTGCCGCGGTCTCTCCACAGCGATGCCTGGTCCAGGTGGCCTTCCAGCCCTCACTGCCCGCCGAGCAGATCCGCCAGCAAGCCCTCCAGGCCCTGACTAAAGACAAAGTCGAGGAGACCAAGCCGGTGAGTGGGGACGCTGAGAGGGGTGTGGGGGCACGGGAGGGCGCAGGAGGGGCAGCCGGCTTTCTACAAACCCAGAACAGTCCTCCCCCGAGGCCCCGGCAGACCCCCTGCCAGGAAGGCAGACATTTGTCGTTTTAAGAGGTTACAGCTTTTCCTCTGGAGGCCCCTCCCTCCTCCTGGAAAGCACCCCCAGACGGGGTGAGGGAGCAGGGGGCCTCCTCTTCCAGAGTCTGGTTATAAGGAGAGCAGGTAAGCCAGCAACAGAGCCGGGACAGCCAGGAGGGGAGCCGCCAAGGGTCTGAGGATGTGAACTTGAGAGAAGGACAGTCCCAGCCGGGGTAAACCTGTGCGGGTCAGGGCTGCCTGCCCAGGACGCGGAGGGACTGCCGTGCACTTCCCCAGTGTCTGTTTTCACCATGAGCACGCGTGTCCAGACCCCTCTGGCCCACACTGCCTTCTTTGTGCTCAGTGTCCCTGTTGGGGAAGGCGGGCCCTGGGGTTGGCGCACGGGCCCACGGGGTCTGCGCGGGGCCCCATTTCCCTCTGGACCCTCGCTTGTCTTCATTGCTCCAGCCCCTGGGATGCAAGTACTGGACAGCCTTGACTGTGGGGCCTACCCAGCCGAGCAGAGCCCCCGGGGTAGCCCCACAGCCGGCCTCTTACTTCATAGCCCCGCAGGGAGGCACCTGCCTTCAGGCGGGAACCACGGAGACTGTCACTGTCGGTACTGCGGGTGCAGACCAGAGACAGAATGTTCCGGTCCTCCACCTCCCACACCCCAAGGCTGCAGAAGCCGGATGTCACGATCAGGTGGGCTCAAGAGAAGGCTGCCCCCCTCTGCTCCCCTCCAGGCCCCTCCAACGGGCTGCCCTGGCCCCCAGGGAGACCCCCCCCACAGACTGCCTAGACAGATGCTTTGAGCCACTTGACTGAAAGTCTAGGGCTGGGCTGACTTCAGAGACAGCGGGATCCAGGCTGCCTCGGGCCTCCAGGCTCACCCTTCCTGGGCCTGTGCCCAGCCCAGGCCCCCGTGGTGTCCCTGTGGACAGCCTCCCTCTGCAGGCTGGGAGGATGCTGCTGCTTTGACGCCCACATTCCCAGCGCAGCAGCCCAGCCTGCCAGGGTGCAAAGTGAGCCCCAGAGAGCTCCAGTGGCCTGAGTCACCTGCCAGCCCTGGACCCTCACCTGTGGATCCAGGAACACAGCTCTCTGGTTGGGTGCCTGACCAGGACCCTGGAGTGGGGGAGCCCCCACAGGAGTCAGGGAAGAGTGGGAAGTCAGCTGGTCAGACAACAGTGGGACAGCCCCCATGGTCCCCATGGTCCAGCCCGGATGAGCGTGCAGCCCTGCGGACCCGCTGGTGGAGGGTGGGGCAGGGCCTGGGGGCGTGTGGGGGGCGTGGGGGTGAGGGCACAGGTGCAGTCTACCCACTTTGTTCCAGTTTGGACGAATACCAGGTTGCCCGGGCCACCCTGATCAAATCTTTCCAGGGGAAGTTTGACAAGTTTGTGATCCCCTGTGTCGTCGCCAGTGGTGACATCCAAGACAGGAGGGGGACAGAGCCCCTGAGCTTCAGGTGCAGTGCTCTGGCGGGGGGGTGTCTGCCAAAAAGTCACTGTCCCTTCTCTGCTACCAACCCAGATCCAGGTCCCAAGGGTGAGGGCACAGTGGCGAGCGTGGGTGGGGGCCAGGGCTAGGGGTCAGGCTGGGGGGACAGGGGCACAGTGTGTCAGCACGCCCTGCCCCCCACCAGTCCCCACAACACTCTGTACCTGGAGCTGTGGTGTCCATCGGTAGCACCGTCCATCATAGTGACATCTGACAGAGGCAAGACCACCTCCAACTTCGGTGATGTGGCTGTAGGTGAGTCCTGGTGGGGCCCAGCCCCCCACACATACACCCACAGGAACCCAAACCCCCAGTGACCACTTGGGCTCCCATGCCCACTCAGGCCTGAGGCTGTGACCCAACCCATTTCAGGACACAGAGGCATAAAGAAGGTCTCCATCCAGAACATCTCCTCCGAGGATCTGTCTGTATCCTTGTCCATCCCCAGCAGGAGGGTGGGCTGGCAGGGATGGGAGCGGGGGCCAGGCGAGGGGCTGCAGCCCAGCCCTCCCCAGCCCTCCTTGACACTGGGCCCTCAGCTGGACTTCTCTGTGTTGAACCCCAATGGCCCCTTTGTCCTAATGAACCCCATCAGCAAGTTGTCTGCGGGTGAGGCCCAGACCCTGGTGCTGTCCTTCTCTCCCTGTGAGAGCGTCCTGGTGAGTCCCAGGCCCACCCCACACCCCACTCTCCATACTCCTGCCCACCTGCTGCCCGCCCACCCTGTGCCCAGGCCTGCGGCTAACCCACTGGGCCCTGGGACCAGCCAGTCCTCCTGGGCCCTCCGCCGCTGCTCCCAAGACGGAGCTCCCGCGTGCCTGGGACAGATGTCTGCCCCGTGCTAAGGGACGTGGTATCTGTAGGCCCAGGAGACACTGGACATCATCACCAAGAGAGGCACACTGTCCCTGACCCTCGTGGGCACCGGTGTGGCGTCCATGATCACATGCTCCATCGAAGGGGACGTCCTCAACATGGGCTACGTGATCGCCAGAGAGTCCGTGTCCTCCAGCTTCAGGGTGGGGCACACTACAGGGCCCGGGAGGGGGAGGGGGTTCGCCCTGGGGGAGTCCGGCCTGCCTGGATCAGGGGCCATGGAGGTGCAGGCCCCCCGGGTGCTCCCGCCTCAGGTCTTTGCAAGGCAGCCCCATCTGGGTTGAGGGGGCTCAGCACAGGTGCTGCGTGGGCGGGCAGTTTACAGACTGGCACTGAGTTCACACTGCCCTGTGGGCTGCCAGTGGGGCGGCAGGCCCTGCACCTGAGGGCCACACTGGCCTCGGAGTCCAGCCTCCTGTACGGCGCTTGCGTCCCCACCTGCTCCGGTGGGCCCGGCAGCAGAGCCGGAGGAGGAGGAGGGTCGGCAGTGGTTTACTGCGAGGGGCTGCTCCAGAGGAGGGGTGGAGGGAGGAAGAGAACGGCCAGTAGCTGGTTCAGCTGAAGGCCGGCCTGGCGGAAGAGGGGCTCTGGAGGTCGGAGGCCACCAGCAGCTGCCCCTTGAGGCAAGGCAGCTCAGGGTGGGTACCCCGGCCTGGAAGAGGGGAGCAGAGCCCGCCAGACGCGGCAGCAGCCCCCGCCGCGGTTAGCTAACTGACGGGCCCTGCAGCTGCAGAACAAGTCCTCGCTGCCCATCAAGTTCTCCCTGCGGCTGGACAGCCTCTCCAGCACCCGGCACCGGGACCAGCAGGAGCTGCCGCAGTTCCTCCGCTCGGGGACCCAGAGGACAGAAGTCGTGGGTAAGCAGGGAGAGGTGGGGCGGCCGGGGGTGGGGCGGGGCCAGGGAGGGGTGGGCCCCGGGGTGGGGCGGAGCCCGGTGAGGGGTGGGCCCGGGGTGGTGCGGGCGGGGGGGGGGCGGGCGAGAAGGGGGGGGCCCAGGGTGGGGCGGGGTCCGGGAGGGGCGGGCCCCGGGGTGGGGCGGAGCCCGGTGAGGGGTGGGCCCGGGTGGTGCGGGCGGGGGGGGGGGAGAAGGGGGGGGCCCAGGGTGGGGCGGGGCCCGGGAGGGGCGGGCTGTGTAGTGGGGCGGAGCCCGGGGAGGGGTGGGCCTCGGGATGGGGCGGGGCCCAGAGAGGGGTGGGCCCGGGGTGGCGCGGGGCGGGGGGGGGGGGGCGGATGGGTGGGGCCCAGGGTGGGGCGGGGTCCGGGAGGGGCGGGCCGTGGAGTGGGGAGGGGCCCGGAGAGGGGTGTGCCCCATGAGGGGCGGAGCCCAGGTTGGGCGGGGCCCGGTGAGGGGTGGGCCTCGGTATAGGGCGGGGCCCGGGGAGGGGTGGGCCTCGGTATAGGGCGGAGCCCGGGGAGGGGTGGGCCCCGGGGTGGGGCGGGGCCCGGGGAGGGGTGGGTCTCGGGATCGGGCGGGGTCCGTGGAGGGGCGGGGTCCTGGAGGGCGGGGCCCGGGGAGTGGTCTGGCGGCAGAAGGCAAGGGACCGCGGCGCACCCCTGCAGGCACACAGAACTACAACGGCCAGAGCGTGTTCAGTGTGGTCCCAGTGGAGGGCGTCATGGACCCCGGCGCGGCGCAGGACTTCACCGTGACCTTCAGCCCGGACCACGAGAGCCTGTACTACTCCGACCTGCTGCAGGTCCTCCTCTTCGAGAAGGTGCGCCTGTGTGAGCCCGGCCCTGCCCCTCCTCCCTGGCGCGTGTCCCTGGAGGCCCGGGTCCATGCCTGGGGGCTCCAAGCCCAGTGCCGGCCCGCAGGGGGAGAGGCCAGCGGCCTGGTCCCAGTGGCCACACCCCGGTCCTGCTGCTTTGGGAGCTCCAGCAGGGCCACAGAATGAGGCTGGGTGCTCCTTGCCGCAGAAAGTCTCCCAGCAGATCCTCCTGAAGGGCGCGGCCCGGGAGCACATGATGTTCGTGGAGGGTGGAGACCCCCTGGATGTGCCTGTGGAGTCTCTGACAGCGATCCTTGCCTGGGACCTGGAGCGCAGAGAGGGTGAGCCCTCTGAGGGTCCCTCCCGCCCCCTCCTCAGCCAGCAGAGAGGCCATGCTGAAGAAGGAAGGTCCCCTTCCTTGGGACCAGCTCCCCCTCTATTCCTAACTCCCTCAGTGGCTGCACACCCCCACCAGCCCCCAACCAGACCCTCCATCGCCAGAAGCTGAGGAGCTGAAGCCCATTCTGGTGACCCTAGACTACATTCAGCTGGACACTGACACCCAGGCCCCACCTGCCACCCGCGAGCTGCAGGTGGGCTGCATCCGGAGCACCCAGCTGTCCCCAAAGAAGGTGACCACAGCACTGCCCCAGCCCTCGATAGGGGTGGGTGGGCAGCCTGCTGCTCAGGGCTGAGAGGGCGGGTGGACTGGGCACCCTCTCCCCAGTCCCACTGCCGCCCCAGTCCCAGTCCCCGAGCTGAGCTTGGCCAGTCGCCAGCAGCTCCAATGCCCACAGCCTGCCGAGTTCAGCCTGGACAGCATCGCGTCCTTGCAGCACAAGGGCTTCACCATAGAGCCCTCCAAGGGCCTTGTGGACCGTGGCCAGACCAAGACCATCAGCATCTCATGGATGCCGCCCGCTGACTTTGATGTAGGTGCTTCGGACTGTGGCCAGGGAGCCCTGCAAGAGCCCAAGGCTGGGCAGGATGGCACCCTGCCCCATGCAGGGAGGGGCTGCTGTGTGGGCCCTGGGCAGGTGCGGTGGGCAGTGCGGCAGCAGGACAGCAGCTCAGCTGGCTGAGGGTCTCCCTCCTCCCACTCTCATTCCAGCCGGACCAGCCACTCATGGCGTCTGCCCTGCTGCAGCTCAAGGGGGATGTGAAGGAGACCTACAAGGTTTTCTTTGTAGCCCAGGTGCTGACCAGCCCCTGAAGTCACAGGAGTCTCTGCAGAGCACCCTAGACCATCCTGTCCACCCTCGAAGCCCTCTCCAGTCTGTGGGCCAGACCACACCTCCCGTGGGCCTGGGACCGGGGCATCCCCTGCTGGGCAGGTTCGATGGGGCAGTCCTCTACTTGACCACATGGTCGGGCACCCAGCCGCACAGCACGGCTGCTTCCTGCAGCCCTGCACCCCACACTCAGAACCAGCAGTTGAGCCGGTCCTGCCCAAGCCTGCCCCTGCCCAAGCCCCTCAGCCCCCAGCCACAGCAGCACCTGCGCAGTGGGAGGAAGACCTGTCAATAAACCATGCTCCCCACATGCAAGCGTGTCGTGTGGGCGACAGCGAGTCACTCAAGTAAGCAGAGTGAGAGGTGGTGACAGCCTTGGGTGGAACCCCCGGCCCCACCAGACAAATCAGCCCGAGAAACAGTGAGCTCTGCCTGGGAGACTCAGAGGGGCCTCTTGGAGGGTGGTGCCTGGGGCACTGGGGCACAGCTGGCAGCAGGGCAGGGTGCAGGGCTGGAGGTCAGACTGGCCCAGACCCAGAAAGGCCCAGCAGGAGGGAGATGGGAGCAGGGGACTCCAAAGCCCAGGGTAGGGGTGGGGTGCTTAGCCCTCCGTGCTCCTCCTGAGCTCCAGAATCCCAGATGACCCCAAGCAAGGAATGGGCAAATGTGGGGGACACACCCATCCAGGGCCCATGGTGAGGCCAGCACATGAGTTCCAGTCCCCTTTTCTGAACTAAGTGCAGACTCAGCCTTCCGGCACAACTGACCCTTCAATGTAGAAGCCCCCACCCAACCCAGGCCCATGAGATGCTCTGGGATCTCCAGATGGTGGCTACACCCCAGCCCTTGCCTTCTGAGGAGTGGCTGGTTAGACACTCTCCCCACAGAGCTCACCCACCCCAGCCCTGTGCCACACACCAGGAGAGCACTGCAGCCCTCCCTGGGCACCAGTCCCCACCCACTGCTTAGTGCCCTGGGGCCTGGAAGCCTACCATCTCCCTAACCGGAGCTCATGACAATGACCCTAGAGCAACATTTCACAGGACTTCTATCTGGTGGCAGACCCAGGTTTCTTTCTACCCCTCACTGGGGCTGACCAGCCAGAGCCTGAGCTGCTTCCTCAACCAGCGGCAAGAGGAGTCGGGGTCCTGCAAACCAAGCCAGGCCCCAGAAGGAGGTCCTCCCTGCAGGTGTATTCCTGCCTCCTCCTAGGGCCACCAGCAGGAGGGGTAGGCCACGTTTTTGGGTTGTTTTTTTTTCTTTATTGATTTTAGAGAGAGAGAGAGATAAAAACATCGGTGAGCGAGAACACCGACGGGCCACCTCCTGCATGCCACCCACTGGGGATCGGGCCCACAACCTGGGCATGTGCCCTGACCGGGAATCGAACTGGTGACTTCCTGGTGCAGTATTGACGCTCAACCACTGAGCCACCCAGCTAGGCAGAGCAGGACACTCTTTTAAAGCCTGGCTCTCCTGCTAGGGGCCCTGGTACTCAACGTCCAAGGTCCTGCCTGAACTTGATGCTAGACCTCTGCCCATCCTCCTCCCTCCCTCTCCTGAGCTGGGCCTGGAAGACAGTCGCGGCAGGAGGGAGGAGGAGGGAGGGCAGCCTGGCTGGAGTGGCCCAGAGATGCAGGGCAGCTTTGGGACACAGCCTGGGCAGACATCAGAGATCAAGGAGCAGGCACCTGGCAGATCCAGGCAGGAGAGAGCCAAGGCCTTGCCTTTCGGGGGTGGGTCACTTCCCTTCCAGGAGCGAGGCCTGTAGAGCGCGTGCTGAGTGCCAAGAGACAGGGCAGAGGTAGCTGCTCCCCCACCCTCCCTAGACATGGCACCTGCCATGCTGACCACCACCCTTGGCCGGATCACCAGATGTTGGACCAGAGCGCAGATTGAGCCTAACAGGGCACCTGGCCTGGTGGGAGGAGGGGTGAGAACTAGGGGGACCTCCCGGAAGAAACGACCCCCAGCCATTCCTGGCAGAATAAACCCCGGGCGCACAGGCCACGTCCGCATGCTCCTGGAAAGCGGGCTGCAGCCAGGACGAGGCAAGGGCCCAGAGCCGAGCTGGTTCCCGGTGGGCCGCCCCGGCCCGCCAGCGGGGGCCTGCAGAGTAAAGGGCGTTGAGCGCAGCGGGGAGCAGCCCTTCGCCTCGCGCACCGCGGGGCGGGCCAAGCTTGGCCACAGTCGTCCTGGCTGCCACCCTCCCTGGCCCCAGCTCGCCAGCCCTGCAGGGCAGGCCGCGCTCTGCACCTGGCCGCCGGGAGCCCGACCCCAACGCGGGGACCACAGGCCCGGAGACGAGGAGGGGAACCGCCAGGGCGCAGGGCCGAGACGCCGAAGCGGGACCTCCGGGGCCCGGGCTCGCGTGGGCGGCATCTCGGGGCTGGGAGTGCGGGGCGTGGTCGCGGGACCGGGCCCCCGGTGGGCGGAGCCTGTGCTTGGGGCCTCCAAGACGCGGCTCTCACTGGGTGGAACCGCGGGGCGGGGCGGGGCCACGTGCCGGGGCGGGGCTCGCGCGGGGCGGGGCCTCCATAAAGCGGCCGGGCGGCCGGGCGGGCGCGCCGGGTCCGCGCCCAGTATGTTGGCGGGGGCGTCGGCGGCCCGCGGGCTCCTGCAGCTGCTGCTGCCGCTCCTGCCGCTGCCTCAGGTGGGTCGGCCGGCGGGCGCCCGGCGTGGGTTTCGCGGGGGGGTCGCGCTCGGCGCACCCCGGCCCGAGCTCACCCCTGTCCCCGCAGGTGACGCTGGGCTTCTCGGACGGCAGCTGCGACCCCTCGGACCAGTAAGTGGGGAGGGAGGGGTGGCAGCGGGCAGCGGGGGCCTGGGGCTGCCCCGCCCCCCGGGAGGCTGCGGCGGCGCGGGCGGGGCCGCTCACGGCAGGTGCCGCGTCCCCACAGGTGCCCGCCCCAGGCCCGCTGGAGCAGCCTGTGGCACGTGGGGTAAGTGGAGGCCGCGGCGCGGAGTCGGGTCCGACGGTGCTTCCCGGGGCCAAGCCCACCAGCTCCCACTCCGTCGGGCTCCACCGCCCAGGGGTCGCCAGCACTGTCCCCCCGGGCGCTGGCGGTAAGGCGCTGGGACCCTCAGCAGCCTGGAAGACTCACCCCAGCCTCCTGCCTCCGCACCAGGGGCGGTCTCCCCCGAGGGTCCTGCCCCAGCCCCGCGCAGATCTGGGCAGACTCCCCCACAGCATTCTTGCCCACCTCCCGCTCCCTCCCGCCTCTCTTGAGAGAGTCGCCCCTGAACACGGCCATTGGTCTGGGCACAGCATTGTGCATTCGGCCCAGGACAGTGTGTCCTGGGAGTGAGCCCAAGGCCACTTGTGGCCAGCCTGGAGAGACAGCCAGGGCCAGCCAGCTCCTCAGGCCCAGCTTGGCCAGGAAGGAGGTGTCTGGCCTGGAGACTCCTCCGGTTGTCTTTGATCCTGTGCTCGTTCCTGTCTGGTGTGGTTGGGCCACTCGGGGAGCAGGTACCTAGAGGCTGTGGGTCCGTCCAGAGGTAGGGTCTTGCTCCTCCTTGCCCAGGCTTATCCTGCTCGCTGTCCTGCTGCTGCTGCTGTGCGGGGTCACGGCCAGCTGTGTCCGGTTCTGCTGCCTCCGGAAGCGGGCACAAGCCCAGTCGCACCTGCCGTCGGCACCTCAGTCTTGCGACCTGACGGTCATCCCTGTGGACAGTGACAGCCCCGTGCACAGCACTGTGACCTGTGAGTGCCTGCACGCCTGCCTTTAAAGGGAGTGGGGGCACCAGGGCCCGACCCGGGCCCACAAACTCACTCTGGTTCCCTGCAGCCTACAGCTCCGTGCAGCACCCGCTGGGTATGCGGCTGCCCCTGCCGTTCGGGGAGCTGGACCTCGACTCCATGACCCCTCCCGCCTACAGCCCCGTCTACACCCTGGAGCTGCCTCCCTCCTATGATGAGGCTGTCAAGATGGCCAAACCGGCACAGGAAGAGCCACCCCCTCAGTAGCTTAGTCCCCTCCCCCAGGTCTCATGCCTAGAGACTCCTCCAAGGTCCCAGGAGCTGAGCCGCAAAGCTCAGTACTACCAGCTGTCGCCCTGGTGCCCCTCAGAGGGAGTGAGGAGTTCTCCTGAGCTCCGCATGCCCCCAACCACCTCGTGCTCAAAGGAGACCCCCAGCCCACCCTCACCATCCTTCCTCCCGGGAAGGCCAGACATCCAGCACATTGCTGCAGCCCTGGCCTCGTTGCTATGCAACGCCAGGCAGACACACACACACACACACACACACACACACACAGGTTGCTACATCCAGCCCTAGGCCCTGGCCCAGCCCCAGCAGGCCCTCTGCCCAAAGGAAGCCCCACAGGTCAAAGCCTCCACAACTTTTTGGAGAATAAAGTTTGTATCTAAGTGGTCTTTGCCTGTAGAAAAGGGCTCCGCTCGCTGGGGGGGGTGGGGGGGTGGGCTCGGGCAGCCGCCCGGTGCAGGCAGCCAGTGAGTACTTGAGTTCCGGCTGGCCTAACCTCACCTTCAGGCTGCCGTGGTGGGTGATTTTAGGTACCACAGCAGAAGTGACAGGCTGTGTGCCATGGTGACTCTGGAGAGCCCTCTCCCTTTACCAGACCCACACCTTTGCCAGGTTGGGGACAAGGAAGCACACACGAGTCTGGCAGGAGTGTTTATTGACTACATTGCTGGGTAGGGTGGGGTGGGGTGGGTGGCAGTGGGCAGTGGCGGGCAGCAGCTCCATGGTTGGGCAGGCCGCCCACAGCTGAAGCAGCTGCTCCTACTGGACCAGCTTGAAGGACTCTCCGGTCATCATGGCCACGAACTCTGGAAGCAAAGGGACAGGTCAGCAGCCCAGCCTGGCCTGGCAGTGGGCTCCCAGGGCCCATCCCCCACTCACCCTCATAGTCAATGGTCCCGTCCCCATCTTTGTCTGCCTCCTTCATCATCTGCTCAGCCTCCACCTCGTTGAGGGGCTCGCCTGCATTCATGAGCACATACCTGCAGGACCCTCCCAAGCCCCGCACTGAGTGGCAGCCCGTAGGGTGCTCACCCTCACCCCCCACTCCCGGCCCTGGCCCTACTTGAGTGTGTCCCAGTCGATGTAACCCTTTCCCTCCTTGTCGAAGACTTGGAAAGCGGCCCTCAGCTCGCCCTCCTGGTTCTGGGCCTTCTCCCAGTAAATCCCCATCAGGGCCAGGAAACTGTCGCAGTTGAAGAAGCCTTTGTCTGCAGGGAGGAAGGCCAGGGATGGGTCCTGTGAGAGGGCAGGGTGAAGCCCCCACCCCCCCAAGGTCAGCCCTGGTGCCCCACACAGCCTCACTGTCTCGGTCCACGTCCTTGGCCATGGAAGCCAGCTCGCTCTTGGTGGGGTTGATGCCCAGCAGGCTCATGAGCCGCTCCAGCTCCCCCGTCTTCACCTCCCCGTTGCCCTCCTCGTCAAACATCTCAAAGATCCCCTTGTACTCCTTGATCTGCTCGGCTGTCAGGCGCTCTGTCTGCGGGGACACGAACACCTTGGCCAGCTTCACCGGGGCCCTCTGCCCCTTCATCCAGGGGAGGTTCGAGGCCCAGGACATGTGGCAGGAGACACCCTTCAGAGCATGTGGTTTAAAAAGGAGGCCCCAGCCTGAAGCCAGCTCCCAGAGGAGGGGGAACTAGTGGTGGGTCTGAAGGATGAGCACGGCTCTGCCAGACAGCTTAAAGGGGAAGGCAGCAGACACGCAGGAGCCAGGCACGGGCCAGCCTCACAGTGGGGGCTGCAGGGTGCAGGGGCCACAGCAGTGGACACAGGTGAGACCAGGGGAAGGATGACCTGGACCAACGTGGGAAGGACCAGGCCAGGGTGAAGGCTTCAGGGGGCTTCCAGGCATCCCAGGGGGATGGTCCACACCCGGCCATGTCTGCCTGCCACCACCATGGCAGCTTTCCGAAAGGGCTGCCCAGCCCAGCCCCCCATTCTGCCCTCTCTGTCCCGCCTTTCTGGGCTTCTTCCTCGGGTCCTAGAGACCCTCACAGCTTCAGGCCCCAGCCATCCCTGTGCCCGGAGGCTCTGCTGGTCTCCTCCGCCCCAGGCACTGCTCCCAGCCCCGCTGCACCACCCAGCAGCCCAGGAGTCCAGCCAGGAGCAGCCTCACCATGTCTGTGGCCGGTGGAGCGGACACCGCGGTGTCACTAGAGCTGCTGTGGGCAGGGCTCAAGGGGCAGAGGCGGCGGCCGCGTTTTAGCTGGGCCCCGCTGCCTGGGGTCCCTGGGGTCCAGATTCCAAGAGCCTTTTATGGCCAGGAGATCCTCCTGGCCCTATTTAGGGACAGGGTTGGCCCTTCCCCACACAGCCCCGTTCTGGCTTTCCTCGGCCTGGGCATCCCCTCACCCTGGAGCCCCCCTCAGACCCTGGGTGTTGGCCAAGGCCCCCACCCCAGCCTCAACTCTCCTGGGGCCACAGCAAGAATGGACACCTCAGGCTGAAGCCTAGAGAGGGGCTATTTCCTTGTAATGTCACCCTCCTCCTCATCTGCGGCGGGACCCTCACAGTGGCCGTCATCACTTATTTGTGGGGGTTTTGTTGGGTGTACACCCTGGTCAGGTACTGCCGTCAAGTCCACCTGGGCCCAGCGCCTTGAAGATGCCCAGAGACAGGTGAGGTCGTGAATGCTCCTCCCGCCCCCGGTGAGTGCTGCAGGGGCTGGGGGTCCGCAGTCCAAGAGGAGACAGCTTCACGTGGCTGGGGGTGGGGGGTCAGCACAGACAGAACCAGGGAACCAGCAGGCCACCAGGAGGCCAGGCCAGTTTCTGGGCAGTCGGGGGCTATTCTGGGATTTCTCAGGGAAACCTGACCTTCCTGCCACTCAGAACAGCAAAGCTGACTCCCAAGGGAGCTGGGTGCCAGGCTGTTTAGTGACAAGATGTCACAGCTGCACACACACCTGCATACGTGTGCTCAGCCCTCACACACAGGCACCCACCCCACCCGGGGCTCCCAACACCTCAGCCCAGGTCTCCTGCTCCCCTGGCCCTGAGCACAAGACCTGCTAAGGGAGCTGTTCCCACCCACCTCTAGTTCCTGCCCCCAGAGACAGCCCCCCTCGTTCCTGTCACTGCTCTCCACACCCCCTTGTGTGGTCCCCAGAGTGGAGTATGCACAGCGTGCGTGCACGCGCACACGCGCACACACACACACACCTGCCCGGTGACAGGACTCCTGATGAATCTGAGCAGGTGGGCCCAACCCCCACCCTTCAGAGCTGGCTCCTGCAGCCTCCAGTTTCCCACTGAGGCCCAGGCCAGCTGCTGAGGCCACAAGATTTGTGCTGACGGGGACAGGCTGGCTCCAGCAGACGCCAGGTCATCGGGCGGCTGGGCTGCAGGGGAATCCTGCTCTGGGTCTGCTCCCTTCCGATGGGGAGAAGACGTTCCCACCCTACTCCCTTAAAAGTCCTAAACTACAGGCATGGGAATTGAAACACCATTTCAGTGAAACTCTTCCCATCCCAAAGCCCAAACCACAGTATGTGGAGAAGACAGCGGAGGGGACGACAGCCGATGGAGTGTGGAAGCCCGAGGGCCTGCGGAGAAAGTGGGGGTAACGTCACATCACGTTAGGTAGGCTCTGGCGCCCAGATGTTTGCTCGGACACTAGTCTAGATCTTGCGGTGAAGGTTTTTAAAAAATATATTGATTGATTCCAGTGGTGAAATTTGCATAAAATATTACTCTGAGAAGGGAAGGAACATTGAACGTCAATTACGTACCACAATCTTTTTTATTTCTTTTTTAGAGAGAGAAGAAGGGAGAGGGAGAGAGAAAGAGAAATATCAATGTGAGAGTGGAACATGGATTGGCTGCCTCGTGCATGTGCCCCCCCCAACCCCGGGAGCAAGCCGAACGAAACCCAGGCATTTGCCCCGACCGGAAATCGAACCCGCAACCTCTCGGTGCACAGGACAACGATGCCCAACCAACTGAACCCAGGCCCCGGTCTTTATTATTGTTATTATTATTTGTGATAAAAACACAGCACATAAGATTTATTATCCTAACCACCTGTGTGTGCACAGCTCGGGGACATTAAGCACACTCACACTGCTGTGCAGCCCTCATGACCATCATCTCCAGAACTTTCCAGTTTTCCAAACTGAAGCTCCTCATTAAACACTCACCCCCGCCCTGCCTCTGGCACCACCATCTACTTTCTGCCTCTGTGGATCTGACTCCTCCAGGGACCTCCTGTGAGCGGAATCACACAGCGTCTGTCCCTCTGCATCTGGCCTGTTTCAGGAACATGTGCTGAAGGGCCATCCATGTAGCAGGTGTCAGAACTTCCTTTTTTTTTTTTAACGCTGGATAATCAATCCATTGCATGTTGCATTGGTCCGGATTCTCCACAGAAGGACAACCAGTTCTAGACAGATGTGACTGTTATATCCAGGACCTGCTGGGGGAGCGGAGGCCCGGGACAGCGGGTGGCGAAGGCCTGAGAGCCAGCAGTGCAGATGTCCGAAGGCAGGAGAGGACGGCGTCCCAGCTCGGGCAGAGCAAGCTCTTCCTGTGCCTCTCGCTCCGTTCGGGCCTGGAGGGCTGGATGCTGGGACGTCTGCACATTCAAAGGCTGATCTCTTCCCCAGCCAGCCCTCCACGCCGTTCAGTCCCACTTTTTTGCACCAAACTCGGCCCCGCCCCGTAATCTGGCCCCGCCCCGCCCCTGGCATCATGAGGCCCCGCCCCCTCCGTCGCTCGGTCCCGCCCCCTCCCTGTTATTCGGTCCCATCCGGCGCCCGGCCCCGCCCCGTCGCCCGGCCTCTCCTCGGGTCCGCTGGACTCCGCCCCCTTGGCCCCGCCCCTTCCGTCAGTGGGTCCCGCTCCGTCGCTCAGCCCGGAAGCGGCGCGCCGGTGGCACCTCCGCGCGTCTGCAGCAGGGGGCGCTCGTGGGCCTCACGGAGCCGGGCAGAGGCGGGCGCGGCGGGCGGGGCGCGCGCCGGCAGCAGTTCCGGGTCCGCCGCTCCGAGGTCGGCCCTCCCGGGTTCGAGCCGGACCGCGTCTCGGTGCGCGCTCGCCCGCCCGGGGCGCGTTCGGTGCCTGGGGTCAGAGCCCTGCCCTCGAAGCCTCACCCGTGGGTCCCACGGTTGCGGGACAAAAACCGGTGTAACTGTTCCTTCCCTCGTCCCGCAGGGGGCAGTGGTGGGGCGGGGCGCCCGCTGCGCAGACGTGGCGCCTGCGCCCGCCCCGTCCGGCCTGCGGAGCCCCAGACCCGCGCGCCCCGAGACCCCGCCGCCCGCACAGGCTGGGTGGGCCCGGCTGCGCCCGGACCTCGGGGCGGGCCCCAGCGGCCCTGCTCCTCCGCGAGCGCGGGGCTTTGCTGCCCCGGGGGCCCCTCCTGCCCTTCCTCGGTCTCCTAGGACTGTCAACAGGACGTCATTCCGTCCAAAAGCTAGAAGAGGTGTTTTTTTTTAAGATTTTTTAGAGAGAGGGCTGTCCGGGGACCTGAGGCCATGGGGCGGCGCTCAGTCCACTGCGCTGAGCCACACCACCGGTTGCTCACAGGTTTTTTGTTTTTTGTTTTTTCTTATCCTCACCCGAGGACATTTTCCCATTTTTTTTTTGTTCAGGTAGAGTGGGAGGGAGAGAGAGGAACAGAGAGAGAGAAACGTCCATGTGAAAGGGACACATCGAGTGGCTGCCACCCGCACGACCGACCAGGGCCGGGGACAAACTGCAACCGAGGTACATGCCCTTAGCGGGAACTGAACCCGGGTCTCTCAGGACCGCAGGCCGACGCTCCAACCGCTGAGCCAAACCCGCCAGGGCTGCTCACAGGTTTTAAACGCAGCAGCAGCCTCAGACCTCTCTGCAGCCCAAGTTCCAGTGGGCTCAGCGGCCAGGGAGGGGCAGAAGCCTGGAGGTCTGTCCTGCATAAAGGGGAAACTGAGGCTCGGGGAGGCGAAGCCCCTTGCCGAGGGGCACCGCCTGTCCTGCCTCTGCGCAGAGCTTGGCCTTGGGCAGAGCCAAGCAGCAGGGGTGGGGCACGCATGGCCCTGGCCTCAGTGGTACTCCGGGTGTCCCCCTGACAGGGTGGACTCACAGCCCCTCACCATGGATGGGGCTTTCTCCCGGGGTGTCTCTCAGAGGTCTTTGAACCTCAGTGACACCCTCCAACCCTGGCCTCCAGGGGCTGTTGGAGGGGCAGGACAGACAGGCCCTTGATGTCTGGTGTGGCAAGCTCAGCCGCCCCCAGGGGGACGCCTGCCTGGGGACAAGCTCTGGGCAGAGGCCCAAAGGAACAAAGCACAGTCTCAGATTGACGTCACAGCAAGCGCTCCGGGGCCCCTGGCTCCAGGCAGCGCCCCTCGTGGGCCCCAAGTGCTGGTTTCCAAAACATCCCGGGCCTGCAGGTCCAGCTACCCAGGAGGGGCCAGCGCTGCATTGGGCTCCACACAGCACCCCTGCTACCTGGGGTCCCAGCCCACCACTTCCTCCTTCACCTTCAGACCTCATGCCCGCAGGTCCTGCAACCACCCTCTACCTCCACCCTCTCCAGGTCCCCTGGCCCCATCCCTGCCCTGCCTCTTGTTGCCCCTTCCAGGCAAACCTTGCATCACCTCCCAGGGGGCAGATGGGCTGGGCCTCAGGGGCAGGATTCCTGACAAACAGCCCTCAGACTCTGGGGCACACTGGAGATGAGGCAAGCTGTGCCTTCAAGATCAAGGTCCCCTGTGAAGACCTGCAGGACTGAAACCCTGAGAATGGAGTTGGGGACGCTGCAGGGGGCGCTGTGGCAGAATAGCCCATGCAGAAGGGCATTTGCTGTCCCCACCCCCTGCCTGCCCCAGGGCACTTGCTGTGATGCACCACCTGACTTGGAGCAGAGCCAGGTGCCCTAGGGCAGATTGGAGCAGAGCAGGAGAGAATGGGACCCAGCCCTGGCCGGTTTGGCTCAGCAGTTAGAGCGTCGGCCTGCGGACCAGAGCGTCCTAGGTTCGGTTCCCGCTAAGGGCACGTACCTCGGTTGCAGCTTGTCCCCGGCCCCGGTTGGGGTTGTGTGGGTGGCAGCCAGTCGATGTGTCTCTCTCACATCAATGTCTCTCTCTCTCTCAGCCCCTCTCTCCTTCCTGCTGTATCTGAAAATAAATGCAAAAAAATGTCCTCGAGTGAGGATTAAAAAAAAAAGAATGGGACCCAGTGACCCTC